GCTATGTGATTAAAGACAGTATTGGAAGACACTGTTCAAGATGTACGAAACGCGGATTTGAATCTCTCAGATACATCTTATTGATGAGCTCCAACTGATACGAAGCCTAGTTAAAATACAGTTTCCCTTTAAGGACCAACTAACATTTCAACTTGTATTATCTTCAAACACATTTGTCATTCTCTGTTTTCACCACCTTCTCCTTCTTTGCTTACTATATTCTTCTTATACAGAAACTCGAATGATGTTTATTTCGTCGTGTTGCTTGTTGACTGCATTGTTTCTTAGTCCATTATTTCATTATATTTGGTTGCAACCGGGTACTGGAAATGCGAATTTCTATTTCGCCGCATCGTTGGTGCATGCATTTGGACAGGTAAGTGAAAAACCAATCAGATCATTTCAAATTTAACTGATCAGCTAATATTAAAAAATATCATGTTTCTCTAGCCGTTTAGTGCTAGTTGCGTCAGTTTGACTAGTAGCTGTATTGCAACTGTATCGGCAAAATCCAGTTGGCACTATTGAACCACACAAATTTGACGTTGAGCACTATTGAGTAATCGATCAGTTGTAAATATCTCAATGCTAGGGGAAGTTAATTGGGTCCCTAATGGCTTAGTACTGTAAACCTGTTCGGTGCCAGTTCGAATCTCACAAGGACCATCAGTTTTCCCAAGACTACAAATGAGCTCTTCTGATGAGGATCAACTAGCGTGTTACCTACTTTCAGGCTTTCATCCTGACTCCCTAAGACCTAATGTCCATACATTAATTCTGTACAGAACAGAAAAGTGAAAGTGATATGAATCCAACATTAAAACAATCGGTTTATACTTTATAGCGATGAAGAATTCACAGAAAGATGGCACGAAAATCTACAAAGAAATTTTAACGCATAATCTGACATGTCAAATGCACATATATTAAGTCGAAGAACTTGGCTAGATTAGATGTTATAGTCAAATCTGAACTTATCAGAAATTGACCTACTCAACTGATCTGTGGAATCAATAGATTAATGGTAGTTGTAGAAACCAAGACGCGCTTATTGTCCTGTTTCGAATTCGTCAATTTCATGAACTTAACTGGATTGTAGTATTAATGTTAACATTGGAATTCAAACACAATGACTGATTAAAATTCAATGGAGAATTTTTATAACTGGATAAATGAAACACTTACCATTTATGATATAAAAATCATATTCATTATATATGTTATTAACTCAATGGATCCAGTAGCTTAATGGATATATACTTTGGACATTTGAACTGAAAGATAATTGGGTTCAAGTCTCAATGTAGTTATAAACACTGAAATGTATAAACATCTCCCAAGTAAGATAAAATGCACATTTTATATTCTATTGCTAACCATAACTAATTTTTTTACTATTATAAATAACTTTTAGATTTTTCCCGCCATTTTTTTTGTTTTTTTTGTTCAAACACTTCAGGTTGTCCTTATTACAGATTTATTAAATGCCTATGGAAAATATGAATTTTTTTTACGTTATGGTTCCAACCTTCGATTGACTACTGGTGAAAAGTTAAAATTAATTCAAGAATAAAAAGAAAAAAAACTTTTTTTTTTAAGAAAAAAGTAACAAAAAATCAAAGTGTCAAAACTAAAAGTACCACAGGAAGAAAATAATTCATGAATATAAAGGAGGGGGGTGGCGGGGAAAGGAGGGTTTCCCCTCCCCCCTATAAACTAATATTTCTCTCACAATTTTCACTTAATTCTCATTTATTTTTTTTTGGGAATTTTATTGAAAATAATCATTTTTTTGCCTTTGTTGTTGTTATATGTATGATGTTGCTTGTGTAGTAGGTTACATCATTAAGCTATGTAAATGTGCCTGTAATACAAATTTATGTGATAATCATTTTAACAATATATGTATTTGGAAAAAAATCATCTCAAGGTTTTGTATTCTTGTCAACAGTAATAATAGTAGTGTATGAATGTGTGTTTGCGTGTGTGTGTGTAAGATTTATTATTTCGTTTAATATTTTGTCAATTTTCATTGATAGGTATTTGTTTATTTATTTTTATTTAAACACATAAATGGTGGTACAAAAGGGCACCAAATATATGTGGGTCACATTTCGTCATTCTATTTGTGTGAGGGGTGGGATACTGCCCGGGTGCCTAAACCGAAGATGATTTTCTTAGAGTGCTACTACTCCCCGAGCCTTTGATCTAGAGGTTTAATCCATAAGTCAGTGGAGAAACGTTAGAAGATACAGTCCCATGGTATCCGGTGACCAATGATTGGCTCCCTCAAGATCCTGGATCCCATGTGCCACCATTGGTTTGGAATCAGAGTATTCCAAGTCCCTTAGATAGATTTTCCATATCCACCAACCCGGTGAATATCGTAAAACACTCCATCCTCGAGAAGGTAGTGAGTAAGACTTCCCTGACAGTGGTTGTATACGCGTGGTCATTTTACTTTCTTAGCATGTATGTGTTTATGTGTTCAACGCAAGACTTTCTTCGAAAAGGTTCGATTACTAAGGTCATATATGTACACTGTTGATATGTTCTGTACTATAATGAAACGACAGCTGTCCAGTATCCACTAGTTTTCAGTGTTACTACAACTGAGATCAATATTCGAATGTATGCAACCCATTTATCGGCTTTTATTACATAATGAAGTTATCGCATATATAACTCGGTTTGTCTAATCTGCAGAATAAGTGTAACGGTGTTTTAAACTACAATCTATTTATTAATTAAAAGGTATATATATATATATATATATATGTCGAAAATCGTTCGAATTATTTCACCAGTTTTAAAGTAAGTCTTCTTGAAATTGTAACAAAATGTCTTGATTCGTGAAGTTGTATTAATAATTCTACTAGATACAGGTTGATGTACATGTCTTTAAGGTACATTTTACGTGTATGATTGTGATACTATTCGGCTGCTCAAACCGGATGTTGAGAGAAGTGGAATTTGTTTATGTGATTTAGTGACTAAAAGTCTAGACTTTTAATCACTAAGTTACTGCTTCATGTATTTAACCTGTGTCATAGTAATTTACTGATGGCCTTAGTTGAGGGTAGTACTTATTACTACAATATGACTGAAAATATCATTGTATTTTGTTATCACATTCGAAATTATAAGCTTAGTCTGTAGTAAACGAACACAAGTTGGGAAGACCAATTTATTGTTCAATGCATAATCACACAATGGTTTATTGTAACGTGGAAATCATACATCATTTGCATATCTTCTTTGAATTGTCTCTTACAAGCTTCATTGTTCCGTCATTTTTGTTGTTATCTTGATTGCTTTCAGTTTTCTTCTCTCTTCTCTTTATTTCAATCTACGTAATCTTCTGCTGCCATGCATTTCACTTCTGATAAGTGTTACATACTACTTATATCTATCGACATAAGTAGCATATACCACAAGTCGACTTTCAGGTGATTACTGAAATCATATTAACTAAATTCGTTTGATTTGTTCATCAGTTCAAATGATCATATATATTAACTAACTGGTATTATGCGTTAGGTATATTTCCAGTATTTTTTCCAAGTATGGAAGGAAATAATGATCATTTACATTATTGAAAGTTCTGTCTTTGTTTCCATAAGTATATTAAAATTAATTGTTCATGTTAATCTATCTCTTCACTAATCTGTTATTACGTTTAATTGAATGGTCAGATATAATATATTTTTAGTTATTAATAACAATCTACTGAATTATTTTAACCAAAGATAATTATACAGCCGTCTCTTTCTAGATGGTTCATTCGGATGACCATATAAATAATTTTCTGGTTTCAACACTCTCTACAAATACCTTCATATTCCAATTAAATTTAATTGGTTCGACATGAATACAATACTTGACTGCATAAAAAAATTTTATTAAACAAATAAAGGATATATAAGAAGTTATAGTGTTAACTCCTTATTCATTTAAATATTATCAACTTCAAGTCATAGATTGTCTGTCAATTAAGGGACGAGTATACTGCGCGGCAGTTCGTTCTGTTTTACTTTACGGCTGCGAAACGTGGCCATTTGGAGTAGAAGATACCCGTAAGCTACTAATATTTGACCACAGGTGTCTTAAAAATATTGCTCGCATCTGCTGGGATCATCGGGTAAGTAATAGTGAGGTTAGACGCAGGGTATTAGGGAATGATGGTAAATCAGTCGATATGGTTGTAAATCTTCGTCGATTGAGATGGTTGGGCCACGTGTTACGTATGCCCGAAAACCGATTACGACGATACGCAATACTGGCCAGTGTTGGAGATGGTTGGAAGAAAGTTAGGGACGGCCAAACCAAAACGTGGCATTAGTGCTTGAAGTCACTAACTTCTAGTCTGTGCCATGTTGGTAGATACAGACACTTGGTTGGTGTCCGTGCAACTATCGTAATCAATGGTCGGAAACTCTTTGTGACATGGCTGAGAATCGATCACAATAGCGTCGGTGTATACACTCTTTGTCTTCCCTTAAACTATGAGATTAAAATCACTTCATATCTTTCTTTCTACGAACTAATTCTTTCTGTACTATATCCTTGCATAAAATCTTTTTTTTATATAATACACCGTTGAGTTAACTTCCTCTACGAATCCGGTGTTCATCTTTCTGTGCTAATGAGATGTGGCAAATTGGACCGATGCATATATGTGTCTGGTCCTACATTGTAACTGACTGGCTGGCTGTTATCCTTTTATGAACACTCCTATGTTTTATAGTACATCACTTTGTTGAGTCTCATAACTTATTGGCTTCACCACAAACGTTGTTAATAAAATTATCTTGTCATCTGTACATAAGATTACTCCATACTTCACCATCTCATTCGTAACATCTTGCATTAGGTTGGCGATTATTATTAAATATTACAATTTGTAGAATGTTTATTTAGTGAAATGAATTTCACCAAACTCTAGACGTAAACCCGTTAATCTCTGTTATTTATCGCCCATCACAGTACAACATGCCATAATGCAATCTGATTACTTACTTCATTGTCAAACTTCAGTTAATATTATTATTATTACTCACAATATATTTTGTTTGTAATTCTCATTTTAGCTTGAGTATCAAAATCGTCTTACTGGCTTATCCACCAGTTGTGCCCCTTCACCACGTACAGTTGCTCGTTCATCATCATCGTCGTTATTAAAAAAAGGTGGTAGGAATACATATAATCGATATCATGCAAATGGTTCCAATAATAATGCTGGAATCAGTTCGTCAGATGAGGGATTCGATAGATTATTTTACAAACCTCGTCGTAGTCAACCAGTTGTACATCCAGCAAGTGAAATACCATTTTGTGAAGTGAGTAGTAGTTTATATATATATATATATATTACTGTGTTTAATAGATACACTGATTGAGTTACACCAAATTTGTAATGAAACCTGAAAAAAGCATTCAAAGAAACTACTTTATTGTTACAGGACCTTTATAGATATCACCAATTAGAAAAAAGATCTCTTATCAGTTTAACTAGATGTTTCAGTTAAGATCATATGGGCTACAAGGATAAAATAAATGCGAAACAACATTCTATTTGTAATATTGAGTACTCAACTGCATGTATTTTCTTATTCTTTCTCAGTGACTCTGTGGCTGGTTGCGAAAGATTTAAATATGGGAAAACAGCCTGTACATGAGTTTATAGCACTGAAATAATGCGGAGACAATGACAAAGAACACGACGCATATATTTTACTCTGATTAATCAAGTACTAAAAGGTACTGTCTCTGTAGTTGACATTCGCACTCGAGACTTAAGGTCTTTGGTTCGACTCCGTATGGTAGGGTCTTGAATAAACACTGTTGATGAGGTCCATATTAGAAAGACATAGCTGTCCACTGCTTCTAGGTCAGTTTTGCATTCGACTCCATCATGGGTGATTACACACGAGTAATGAGATCCTGAATGGTACGACTGTGTTTTAATTTTTAGCTTACTGCACACAATTGGCCACCAAGAAAGTTTGCACCAAACAAATAAAGCTAGGATAGGGAGTGCATTTAAAAATTGTGGACAGGTATATTGTACAGTATAAAGATATGACCAAAAAGAATGTCCATTAGTTAAGTTTCTGTCACCTATGTAGAAAATAAAAGACTCCATTCTGTCCCATGTCTGGTAAAGTCTGAAGCCACTAATTTGCATAATTTCTAGGACCTTAAATAGGAAATCATGGTGGACTGATAGGTTCTAGTCCTATACAGCTATCTCTCATCTCTCCCCTTTTTCCACCAAGTCTTAGCGTCAACAATTCATGCACGAAATGGAAGCGTCTAATCTGACATTTTTTTAGATATATCCAAGCTGCCAAAGCTGATGTTTAAAGACGATAACACCATTTGAATAATCGTCACCACCTTCAAATACACATTGCTGAATCTTAGTATTACTAATATGGTATGTTGCCACGAAATAGTTTCCAGGTACTTTATCTCTCTCTTATTTTCAACTATTTCCCAATCTATAATTTAAATTACTTTATTTTTTGCTTTGGTGTTTTCATCGACTAGTTAACCGATTTGACTTTAACATTAAATTGCTTGCTGTTATCGATCTTCTTTTTTTTCTTCTCCTCACCTTTACTATGTCACTGTCAGTATAAACATTGTCTACAGTTTTTACTAGTTTATATATTATATGTGTCTAAACATTTGAATTCTACATTAATAATTGACCATATCCGTATGCATACATTACCCATTCAATAATTCAGTCCTTTTTAGTCAAATACTCTACTAATCTATATTTAAAACTTGTATGAATAAAACCGATTGATCAAGTTGTCATGTATATGCAACGTTTACAGTGTTAATTGTGTATTTATTTAAGTGTAAATGAATGAATAAGTTAATTCACGATTAGTTATAAATCCTTCTATATAGATGGTAATGTATTTTTTTCTCCTTGAAAATTTCGCTTTATTCATTTATGTATTGGTTGTTTGAGTCTTCCTATTGATGTTTAAAACTGCAGTTGGTCAGTTTCTTATTGGCATATGTGTATTCTGTGTGGATTGTCTCGATATTACCTTAAGTCTCAGGTATTATAAGCAGAAATGGATGGTGGCTAGTAGTGGAATCCAGGATGTGCGTTTCATTTTATTTGGGACTGGTCAGCTAGTTGTACCTGCATTCCATGATTTGAACCTCACCCCATCATTATACAAGCTAGTGGCTCTGTGGACTCAGTAGCTAAGTAAATAACCCGATGGCTTTTGAAGCGGACGGTACTGGGCTTGAGTTTCAGAGTGAACAACTCTGGGGTAAAGGTACATTCAGCTGACGAGTCCCAGATAAGACAGAACGCGTGTTTTAGATTCCTCTGCTAGCCACCATCATCTCCGCTTATTATTAAATTTTATGTCTGTTCAGCATTGAATCGATGAAATTTAAAACTGTAATATATAATAATGATTTTTTATTTTCTTGATACTATAAACGATATGATCGTTTTGCAAAGCAGTAGAGAAAAAAGACAAGACGAAAAAAAACAAAAGTTACATAACATTCATATTGTTCTGTGCCTATACGGTTTTGAAGCAGTCAGTCAGTCAACAATGTAGAACTTCGTACGTACGTGTATCAGTTCGAGTCGCCATACCACATTAGCACAGAGATACAATTGTCAATTCAAATGCCGTAGTGATAGAGGTAGTAAAAGTATGAGCAATAATCGGAAAGATTAGGGTTTGAAGATGTTATTCAGAAATATAATCCAGTGAAATAAATTTGGAAAGAGAAAAAAAGAATGAGACATGAAGAATTCAGAATATTAGAATTTGGGAGAACACAAAGAGTGTATGCACCTTCATCATTGCAAACGATTTTGAGGCATGTCATCTAAGGTCTCTAACCATCGGTGGCTATCGTCTTGCGGATCCCAACCAGGTAGTGTACACCTACCAACATGACTCAGTCCACTTGTCATTGACTTCATTTATTTGTACCATGTTTTGGTCTGGCGGCCCCTAACCTTCTTCCAACCTAATCCTACACCATGAAACATCGCACGTGGGAGCAGTCGGTGTTTGGGCATATGTAACACGTGTCCCAGTCATCTCAATTGATGAAGTTTTAGTGCTTCATCAATTGATTTGTTACCCTTACTGTGTACTCATTTTGAAGCAGGTGACATTTAACTGGTAGATTTCTGGTTCGAATCCCATATTATTTAATGCGGTTTAGTCAGCTACGTGATAACACAAAAATCTTCTTGCAAAAAATTATATGGCTGAAATCCGAGTACATAGAAATTAATATTTGATAAATAATATATATTGAAGTTTTCTATTTGGGTGAGAAAAGATAGAACAAAATTAAACATTATCTTTACTATTTGAAATACAACAGTTCAATTCATGAACTTACACGTTCATATTTGACCGATAATATTGTCTTTTCATGTTCAGATTTAGTAGACGTAGGATGTGTTTAAACTCTTCGTACGGTGACTGTATTTAAATCATCACTTTGAGTAATGTAAGAATCTGTGTGTTACAATTGACTGATAGATTAGTTAAGAATAGATTGACACGTTTCTGTCTTCTAACTTGCAGCTTGGCGGATTCAATTTGTACGCGGTTGATGTTCTAGATGTAACAGATAGATGTAGATCGCCCATATGTTCTGGAATCCTCAAAAGTGCTCAAACAAATGTTTCAGCATCTCCACATTGTTTTTTTGTTATGGTTGAGTTTTCGAATTTAGGGTTAGAATTTTCATCACTAACTAACATCAGCCGAAATGTAGAAATCTAGTATAGATGGAAAACTTAAGTGACCATATCATTGGTTCGTTCATTGAATCTAGTGCCACTAGGTTTACGTTTGTTTCAGGATCAAAGGTTTGGATTTAAGGATACTTCCAATTCATTTATGTACAATCGAAAAGGACAAAATAAAGCATTTGATATATCTAACACTATCATCTTTACTCTGTGGTTGCAAAACATGATTTTTTGCTCTGATTCTGAACGTTTTTCACAAAATCCCAAAGGTTGATTCTGATTGATTCATCCCTAAAGTATGCTTTTACTAGATAATTTATCATCTTTTCAGTTCGTACACTAACATTAATTGTTTTAAAGCTAACTAATCAGTCTACTGTGATTTGTGCCTGATCTGTGCATGAAACATTTCCGATTCTACCCTGCTAATAATACCAGTCGACAGAAAATCTTGGTCATAGGTTTCACACTAGTTCTCACTCATCAACACGGCATATGTACAAGCTTAGGTGAATAGCTAATCTCCTCCTTCGTATTCGAATCTCTTAGTGTCACAGAGTTTGTTATCATTGATCTATTCATATCACAACATGCTATTAGATAGTTCTATTTTCAGAACTTAAAAGTTTGCAATTATCTCTTAGTTATATCCTATTTGTAATTTCTATGAAAACAAAGTCATACATACAAACACAATAGCATACATAAACCCTATATCTGAGTCATTAACGGGAACAAAATGCTTTGTTGAATGGCCTAAAATGTAATCTCTCGTTGCGAAACTTAGAGGTGCTGGTTTCAATTTTCGATGTGGTTGTAAATTTGCACAGATGTAGAGTTTAGTGGCCTGGGATCTGACTCCAAGTAGATCGTATGAATGCTTGCTGTCGAAATATATGTGTCGCCTAGTCTCGTATATAATAAACTACTTAAATGGCGTTAGTCAATAACGGAATTTAATCAAATACGAGAATGAATTACGAATACTTATATTTAATACAATCTTTGATCCAGACAAAATATCAGAGAACCAAAGAGGAAAGAGAGAAGCGGAGAGGACATGTAAGCCAACTCCATTTAACCAAGCCTTAATCAACACGAAATTAAGCTTCAGATACGTGATGAATGGGATAAGGTCACCCATACGTGTTCATATAAAAACAGTCAAGGTTGATAAGCGAATAATTAACAAGGTCAAAATGTAACTCAAGTAGAATGGTCTGTCCGAAAGCTAGAATAAAGTATATGGGCTTAACATAATAACCGACACTACAGGGTCCCATACTAGAATAAGAAAGCTTTTCAGTGCTTCTGATTTTCTGTAGTATTCAGCAATCTTCACAAACCCCTTATGCTTGTCATTGAATTGCAGTCAATTTTCCTATTCCTATCTTTGTTCATTTTAATTGTTAAAGAATTGTCGTGCTATGGATGAAGAAATGTCAAAAGAATATGATTCAGTGACTGGATCACCTGTAAATAATGATAATAATAATCATCTACCTGAAGAAATGATTCATGATGATGAAGAAGAATCAAGATCATGGGTTATGCGAATGCCTGTTGGTCCATGGTGGTGTGAAGATTGTCAAGAATCAGTGACATCAAGTAATTTAACTATATCACAATTATTTGCTATTTTACGACAATGGACACCTTATGCACAGCTACAATTAATTACAATAGTTGAAGAGGTATGTTTTATTGATTGGTTTGGAAGGGACGTGAAGTTCATAAATTGATTACTGTTTTCTTGATATATAAATTTCGTTCATTATATATAAGTGACTATAAAATTTGTTTTTCAGTCAGTTTCAACGTAGAACCTATACTTAGAAACATCATTTCAAGTCACTATACCCCATTAGCACGGAAAAATGAAATTATCAGGGCAAATACCAAAGTAACGGATGTAATAAGAGTATCGGTAGTAACAAAAAATAGTGAGTATCAAGGATGCGGTTCAAGAATACTAGTGGAATTTAAAAAATTGAGGGATTCAGAAGCCAAGAGTGCGGGGAAAGATATAGAGTGAATGCACCTGCGCCATTACAAACGATTTTTAGCCATGTCATTCAGAGCCTCTTACCAGTGGTTACAATAATCTTGCGGACCACAACTCGGCTGTCTTCATCTTCTTAAACAGCTCATTTCGATAGTCAATGTTTTCATGGATGTGCTGGTTTGACCGTTCTTAGCTTTCCTTTAGTCTACTCCTATATCAGACAACATGGCCCGTTTAGGTAGGCGATAGTTTGCCATACGTAACGCATGTCTCAACCACCGTAGTTGATGAGGATTTTTCACTTCATCAGTTGGTTTTCCATCCCTACCTAGCATCTTATCGTTAACGCAGGAATCACTTACTTGGCGGTCCCAAAATATACGCTATTTACGCCTTGTATTTGAGTTCAGTAAATATTTTTCTTGGGCTATATAAGTTTCTCTGACAAATAGTTCTTCTCATGTTCAGAGTTTCCTAGTTTTTCGAACTGTAGGTCCATTTGTTCTGATACAGGGGATTGCGTAATATCATTGGCTCTCACACTAACAGTTTGGCTTTAAGTCCACATTTCCCGTCACTTATGACTGACTCCCTGACTGAAAGTCAATTGTAATTATGTGTACCTGGTTAAGGGTTTGCCACATAACACTGTAATAATAATAACGAATACGATAAAAGACATAGTAATCCGGGAATCCAAAAAGCTTGATAGTCAATATATTAAATTTCAAGTAGGAGTAACTCTTGTATGTATATTAGCAGCGAATCATGTTCTTTGGGCAAATTGCAAACTGAATGTGAGAACAATCAATCAAATAGTGGCGAAAACCATTGCGTAAATATAAATTTGCAAAGTATTAATGCAGTCAATTTTACGCATATGATCTATCATCTTTTTGCAGAATCACTATCTCATTTCTTTTTTGTTGTTCATCCACACTGTCAGCCGTTATGGTATTGTGTAATCAAATAATTTTGTCATGAATATAAAATAAATCAGTCTTCATTATTTGTATCTTTCACACACACACACACATCTATATTTGTCTCTTTTCTTTACTCAATTTTATTTAATTCCATCAACAGATATTTAGACGTGGTGCTCATGTTGATGATCGTGACGGTTTAAGTGACATGACTTTATTACATTTTACTGCAAAATCCGGTGCATTAGGCGATGAACAAGCTTCGTGTCGGTAAGTTTTTATGTGTCATTGAAAAGATACGTAAATCCTGTTTATATTATGTTATTAATGGACTGATTATGTCATCCAATATCCTCAATTATTATATTTTAATTGAATGGTTGTTGTGGGAATTAGTTCAATTTATAAGTATTATTCGTTACATATCAGTCTCAGTGGACTTGTCATTAAAATGAAGGGAAGACTGAGTGTCTGTTTCGTTTTAGTGTGTGACTTCTTGAGAGTGGGTACCCTCGGAACCTCTTTAAATATCGTCACTACTGATGTTCAGACGTCAGGGGTGAGACAATTATCATCAATGGTATTAGATGATTGTCGCAATATATTGCAACGTAATTAAAGCTGTAAGTGTGCTATTAGACACTAATACAGTGGTTTTAATGTTTAAGCTTTCGACATGAAACATGCAGGTTCTAAGTTCAATCCTTGGTAACGTCGTGGACGCGTACTGCAAAGTAGTCCACTATTTGGATCAAACATTTATTCAATGCTCCCGGGTTTTCGTTGGTATCTCAACTGAGATCGATCTGTGACGAATGCAACCTAAAAATATATTAGTCTCGTCTTTATGTTCAATCAGATTAGACAGAACAAGTTGTTCTCCAGTGGAAGTGATTCAACATCATATGTACCGTTTGTCTCCATGTTAGGTGAACATTGGAGACAACTGGACTTAGCACTTGTCCATAACACGTATCATCAGAGAACTGATGTGTTCAAACTCGTGCACAGTCAGAGATTTGACCACACAGTTATTTCAACCGTTGCTAATTTCCTGTAGGTTTAATATATTTACGTTGACTAACATCTGTTTAGCAACTAATATCACGTTTGTGTATTCCTTAGTACTCACATAAGTTCCTATCCTACGGGAAGCATCTATTCCTTTTAGATTGTAAATCCTTATTGATGAGTACCAACCACATGATCACAAATCCAAATCCTACAAATTATTTTGGCTTCGATACGTTAACGGTATTATCATGTCTTATGTGAAGAGAGAGTGTGGTTTATTCTCGAGTAATTAAAACGATTTATAATGGTACTTCGATCTTTATTAATTGACAAAAAAATGACTGGTTTCCACATCCCTAAGTTTGTGTCACAGTCCATCATCTACGATCTGCTATTCCACCTCAAACCTTTCATCATATTCTTCTCTGACTGCGATTGAATTTTAGAGCAACTCTTAAATCATCATAAGACTTAACCGTTTATCAATAAAACTACTTTTTCAATGATTATGATATTGAATTTTGATTTGTCTCTATGATAAATAATCATAGAGATAAATAATTTAATTCAATTACGAAACTATCAGTTTGTATGTACACATATTTTTGTCACATTGTAATAGATAAACGAAGGCCAAGAATAAACTACATACCCTTAAAACTCCTTAAATCCAAACAAACTAATGAATGTAAGCTGATTTGTTGAAAAATCGATAAGCGACCTATTTTCTTCATGTTAATCGATATGAACTATATTAATACTATTATCATGTATTGTTGATGTCTTTTCTATCTTAGTTGTAATTCCTTTATTCATTCATTTTACACATACTTGGGAAGGATATTTCATTTTGTGTGTCATGAAAAACAAACTGGATTAGTAGTACTGGTCTCGCCAAACCGTAAGCATGACTACACAGTCGAAGTAACAACTGTTTAAAGTTGGGTACTCAGCTTTTGTCAGAGTAGTTTTTGATGTGTTATCTCTGTACATTTAGGATCTTATTTTATGCTATGAGAATCCGTGGGGCATGGTGGAGTGTGGCATTTTCAGGTCCAAACTTTTAACCTTCCCTTCTGGTTGCGGGAAGGCAGTGTCGCTGCAGTTGCTGGTTATCTAATGTCACACTCTAGTTAATTCGGCAGTATGACTTCTTTGGACCTTAAGCTACTCCTTCTGGCCTCACTATTCTCCAGATGATCTGCATGGGATGATAGGTCCTAAAAAGCAAACGTCCTAGCCCATACTACCTTATTGAATCACTGCGATATGCAAGACCGATTACCGCGTCAAGGTAGTAGCTACAATTGAGATGTACTAATGTGAAATTGGGTAACTTCAATAAATGCTTGTTTCTGTCAAAGCTTACGTTATCCAAAACTATTTAGTCTTTTCGAATCACTTTGTTCATCGCGCCCGGTTGGGGCTCATTTCCAGCAATTAAGATTGAAGATTTTATTCATTACAGATTGATTCGGCTGTGTAGATCCATGACTTTACTAAGAATTGAAACCAAGACCTCCAGGTTTTGTGATGTTATCTGTGTTCGGTCGATAAAGCTACGTATTGGTCTAATTCAGATAGTATGATATTATCTTCATTATCTCTGTAGTTTTTTCTCTTTTTTGTTTACTTGTAATTTTATCTATTTATTTGTTTCCTTTTGAAGTATTGCTAATTATTTATTAGACGAAGGTGCTAATCTCGAAGCTCGTTGTAAATGGACTGATATGACACCGTTGCATTATGCAGCTTATTTTGATTGTCCATTATTAGCTGATTTATTAATAAATCGTGGTGCATGTATATCAGCTAGAACATGTTTGATTGATCATTCTACACCGTTACATTTAGCTGCTAGTCAATTATCATTAGGTACTGCACGTATATTAATACAAGCAGCTGATTTTTCTGTTACAAAAACTGGACAACGATATGATGCTAAAGATGCAAAAGATGGTTATGGACGTACACCATATGGTGAGATAATTGTGATTTTCTTTATTTATACAATTTTTTATAATTACTATTTGAGTGAACATCAACTGTGGGATGCAGGTACATCCAGCTGACGAGTCCTGAATAGGACAAAACGCATGTCCTAAATTCCACTGCTGGTCACCGTCCTTCTTTGCTTGTAATAATCAGTCAAGTAATATTATTATTTTTAAAGGATAACTCAGTAAAATTAATGAATTACTGTGGTTAGCAGTAATTGGTGGGAAGCACTGGATCCCGGTTTCTTGATATTTACCATTGTTAGTATGTGGTAACTACAATCTTGGGAGGAATTCATGCGTGTGACTAGCTGCTTCCTAGTTGCCTAACATTTTAAGATAATCCACTTTTAAATAGTGGTTTTTCTCAATGAATTAATCGTAGCTGAGAAAGAAAAAAGGAATTTTTGACATAGGTTTTGCATATTTATTTGAAACTCTTGTAGCTGTTCCCACTAACGATTAGTAATCTCAACGAAAGAAGAATAATGATTGTAGCTTGAATTGTTTCGGAGACTACGTAGTACAGCTACTTATATCAGTGAAATTACACAACTTCATTGATGAATTTGCCTTCTTATACGAACTCGTTACTGTTCAACTTTAGTTATTACTCATGTTTCTTTCTGTTCTGTCAGAGGTAATATTCTAAATCAGATCTTGATATAATCACCAAGACATTAAATCTAACAGTCGAAACTTTATTGATTGGATAGTGATTAACTTATCCAACTGATATCCCTCAGTCGCTTATGCATATCTACGAATTCAGCTGCTCATGTCAAGAAAGCTAATATTCAGCACGCAACCAGATAACTGAGCCAACGAATTAGTGAACGCCTTCCTTCGTAGTTGGGAAAGGGTATCGTCAAAATAATACATAGCTCTATTATATCATATTTTATCGATAGCGATCATGTAGTAGATATAAATAGGTCATTTAAAGTGATTTATCGTATTCCTACTTGGTCCCCTTATGGAGTCCAATATCGTCTCTTACATATAGCAGAAGCTATGGAAATTCGAGCCAGTTATCCAAATTTTTGTATTCATAAACAATTCGTTACACCTTTATCTCTTCCTTGGCCGAATAGATTTTATTTTCCATACTCTTTGTTCATTTATTTTCCTTTACCCCCTCCCATACTTTTTTTCCTAAGTACATGCTTCATTGTCCAATCATGGATTTTATGAATATTCTTTCAAGATCTATATTTTTCAAGTCATTGACCTATTTCCTATTACGAAGCATGAATTCAAGCTTTTATTATTATCACAACTGGTACACCTGTCATCTCACACTACCGATTTGTACTCTTTACTAATTATGTTTATTTATGTAGTCTATTCTACTGTTGTCACTGACTTATCAACTGCCTTAATTGGCTTAGTAATTTCTTGTGTGAATATAAATATTACTGTGCTAAAAGATCCTACCTGCCCCCAAATGCCCTGGTACGGTCGAGAGTGGGGAGAGTTCGCTCTCCCTCTCGAAATGCTCTCATATGGCCACGCGTAAATAGCCTCTGCCAGGGAAGTCCTACACACTGTTTTCTCGTGGTGGGGGTGTTTTTTACGAAATTGAGAGGATGAAAAACGAATGTCCGGCGCTTCAACCGAGTTGGTAGACATGGAGAGTTCACCTAGGGGAGTTGGAAAACCGTCATTCCAAACAAATTGTGCACATGGGCTCCATTATCCTAAAGGAACAAACGGCGTATGAACCAATCATTGATCACCGGCTACCATGGAACTGCATCTCCTTACGTTGCTCCACTGCCTTGTAGATCAAACCTTCATGTCGAAGGCTCCGGGTGTAGCCCCCTAAGAAAACCACCTGTTTCGGTTTGGGCACTCGGGCAGTATTGCAGCCCTCACTCATATCGAATGAGATTTGTGTGGCGCATATGTATTTGGTGCCTCCTTGTACCAATATCTATGTGTTAATATAAATAAATAAATAATCCTACCTACAAGAAAAGGAATAATCATTCACTGCTAGGTGGTACACCGGTTTTCAACAATCACTAAACAGGTAATAAAACCAAAGACAAGAAAAATGTGCAAAAACAACTATTGAACCCTTGTAGTTGTGTCGTTTATCTATGTAAGCCTTTTATCCAGAAGGGCATATCGGCTTCATCTGGCTGAAAGAGCCATTGTGCATTAGAATAAAGCCTCATGACGATCTAATTTCATATTGTTCGCTTATATATGTTTGTTCTAATTCACATTATGGAAAACACACACCATGTTGATTATTATTATTATTATTATTATTATTATTATTATTATTATTATTATTATTATTATTATTATTATTATTATTATTATTATTTCAGAATGTCTACCGCCTTCAGGTCAACTTCCAGAACCTTTGTGTACACTACGAGATTTATTGGCTGAATTACTTCGTCCAACATCTCCACAACAAACTGTACGTTAGTATACATTTATATATATATACATACTACATGTTCACGTTACTTCTCTTCTAATCAATTAAGACTGGATTGTTCTCAAGTCAGAACATTATTCTCATGATCTTTTACGTAAATAATAAAAACATTATAATGTTTACTTATACCGACTAGTCATTATCATGTTTATTATTTATTTATATGAGCTAATTAAAAAATGTGGTGTAAAATACACTTGACTTATTGTAAGTAAATAAGATATGAAATATTCTCTTGTGATGTTACCATTTGATTATAGACTTAATACGTATAATTCATAATCAATCATTCCGTAATCAATAACTTAGAACCTGAAATAAGGTGTATAGTTATTAGCTTAAGTTTATTATAGTAAATTGGAACAATAAAATAAATAAAAGAAGCTGAATTCCAAGACAGATCAAAATGACTTATTATCAATGATAATGATTAAACATTGCGCACATTGATCAAAATGAATAAATGAGATGGTATGTTTGTGAGGATGCTACATTTGAAGGAATTACGATATCACCTAAAACTGGCGAATGGTACTAAGGTCAGCAACTCTAAAACAGGAGAAGCCAAATTGTTCCACTACTTCTCAACCCTGCTAACTAGAGGGAGATGACCAGATTTAGTCGAAGGAAATGTATATTCCAAAATCACCCTGGACGCATGAATAAACAAGCACACAACTCATGCGTATACATATAATATGAAAATGTCCTTGGGAAACGTCACAAAATAGCGTATTAAAAGAGGAAGGTCCTTCCAAGTGGAAAATACAATCTGAAGGTAAAAATGGGCGCTTTTTTTCTAGCGAAAATAGGGAATTTGAAACTAAAATAAAATTACAAAAATAAGACATTTACCAAGTGATTTCTGGGGATCTAGTATCTCCAAAAGAAGTCGTTGAAAATTTATTATGAATAGCATGGTGGAAATTGGATACATTTATACCATTGTAAATGATTTTGTATCGTGTTCAGATCTCAAACAGTTAGTCTGGATTCATCAGTCTATTTCAGATTAATCGTCCGATAACGTTATAAATTGATGCTTTATCTTGATTTCAACAGTTGAGATCATGAGTCAATTGAAGCTAGACCACCATGAAAAACGTGGAAGCACTGGACGGTCGTTTCGTCCTATTGTGGGACTCCTCGTGGATGCGCACTGCTACCACCTAATTTTAAACCAGCGAACATTAATCATCAAAGTATAATTCATAAGATAACGTTCAATAATGAAACATTTCAATTAATGTCTACACAGTATCTAAGATTATTGACCTCGTTCTTGTTGTTATTATTATTGTTTTAGGAAGATATTGACATTGAAAAAAGAATTATTCAAGCCACTTCAAATGATTATTCAACAAATTATCGAAATGAACATATTACTAACAATTATGTGAATAATCAAACTTTACCAACTGAGAATTCTCATTCACAACAATCTACATGTAGTGGAGTTGATTGGTTAGTTGGTAAGTATTTTGCTTTAATATTATAAGAAACAATTCCCATATCATCTTTCTTCCCTTTCCCCCCCTCCGAAAGAAGAGATAGTAGTGACATGAATAACATTTGATTGTTTTAAGAAAACATTATTATGGTTTTGATGGAAAGAAATCTAACGAATATAATCATGATAGGAAAAGAGAAAAATGTTAGAAATGGTTTCTCTTAAACGCCGCCTAGTTGAATATCCTGTGTTTGATTTCACGTGTGGATTGTAAGAATACACATTGTACTGTTAAGTATGAAACTACAATTCAATACCTATTTAGTTATGATAAGTCTTTGACATTTTTCCTGTTGATATTATTGTTAAATTATAGTAAATCTCTACATAACCTGTATGCATACCGTAATTGGTAATGGCTGAAATTACGCTGTTGTTGATATTCAAGACTGAATTCCGACCTCACTTCACTGACATATATATGTATCTTGTGCAGATCACCTCTATACAGTCATTTTGTTATAGATATTCTCTTAGCATAGATGGATTATGTCTTTCAGTAGGGATCCAGGACGTTGGTTTTGTCCTACTTGGAACTTATCATCTGAAAGTATGTACTTCTCAGAATTGATGTTGACACAGTCTGGAATCCAACTTCTTTTGTTTCAAACTTCAGCGTGTCAATCTCTAAGCTACAGTCTCGGAGATTTAATGATATTATATTATAATAAATTAACGTCTATTCAGTGAATTCTACTGAAATTGTAGACAAACGGGGATTTTTAAAATAAAGCTTAGGACAGATGTACATTGAAAATGTATTAACGATGATAAAAAGTGAGACTAAATTTAGAAAATAGTGTTAGAAAAACCAAACACGTATCGGGAAAGTGTTTATGAAAGAATTCTGAACCTGAAGATCGAGGGAGTAAGATGAAAAGTGAGTGTCGTGGATCATTATGAACTATCCTGTACTAAGTCAGTCAAAGTTTCTAGTCACTGACTAAAATTTTTTACTTATTTCTACGTTAAGTGTATCTTATCTATAGTCGGTTAGACGGTGAACGAAGTATCTATTAGTTAGTTACATATACTATGTAATAACAGCACTTCAAACACAATATACGTCCCCGATGTTTTAATATTAGAAAAGAGGTTCATTCTTGATAAAAGTAAATAGTTTTCCATTCACAGAAAAAGCCAAAAAATATGTAATACTTCGTCGTTCGTGAAAACTGCAAATTAGTTTACAAAGAAAAAACATCCCTTTATAAAAAAATTTCTCACGTAACATCAGAAAACTTCAAATCAGATCAACGCGATTTGAGAGACATAACACAGGGATCAGTGTAAATGCTTGTCCTACTATCTGTTCACAACTGTGTTTACTTCTTCGCTAATCTGAATAATTTTCTAAGAGATCATACTTTCCTACTACCAATACAGGAAGATTTACTTGTCGATCTGGATGGAAAAAGGTATTTTTGCTAAAAAAGGTACCTTGCTAATTCATACTAACGATTAATACTTTCTTGCTTCTGTTTTATATCATCATGGACGATTTAAGTGTCTGGGCATCATAACAAGCACTACCTGTTGGTTGGAAATCATTTTAATGTCGTATGGTGTATCTAACTAAAGACAAACAAGTTTACCATTCACTTTTATGTCAACATACTTCCTAGTACTCTGAAAATAATCCTTACGAGTTACTTTTGATTTGTTTTGTGAACGCTGCTAAAATCTGGCTTGTATGTCTTTGATAGTTAATGACCATTTTGGCTAATCGCATGATTGTAGTGGCACTTGTCATTTTTAAACGGGTATATTTTCAAGAATTCCCATGCTTCACAAAATCAATGTTGTTATGATGCATTCTTAGCAATTTGTTTGTTTGGTGATGTGTTTCTTCAGAAGATTTTGAGGATATGACTGGATTTACTGACACGAAAATTTCGCAGGTTTCATCTAAAAATTGTCTCAATTTAGTTTGCGGTTTTGGTACGGTAGGCTACTTGATCTAGATTTCAGACCGACAAATACGCGAGTTCGATTATTACTGAACGACCTTGGAGGCAGAGAAAAAACTATTGTATCATTGACCTGATAGTTTGGAAAGCTTAGAGAAGAACAATGAGAACAGTCGACTTGATCAAAACGTTACTCGATTTTTTCCTGATTCTGACTGACTGAAAAAGGTATATAGATACACTCCTGCTCGTATTTCAGAGAGGTTGTATTCTGTTATCAAGAGTGAGTGGTCTGCGAAAAAATTGAGTTGACACTACGACTTAACTAACTATAATTTCTACTATCTTAAGAAGTAGATAACAGTCTAAGAATTATTTTTCTGCACCTGATATAAAAGTCCCCTCTTCATTTTGAAGCTTGAAGGGATCGTTATGATTCCACTTTGTTTTCAAGAGTCGGAAAATAGAATGAAACAACAACCATGTTGTACTAGATTGTTTCCCTATAATATTCCAGTTAGTCTGTAATAAATAATCGTATTGCATTAATCAAAGGTGTTTTGTGAAAATCCGTTTATGTAAATCTTGTTTCTCATGATAAAACGATTGACAATATTTATTTGAAATGAGATATCATATTTCCTGTTTATTTGTTATAATATTTCATTGTGATCCATGCACACAGCTGAATCTGGTTTTTTATCACCTCGTACTAAACGTTCACCAACCAATGTTCAACAACAATCCAATATTAATAATGATACGAAAAGTCCTACAACAAGTCAATCAAAGAAATTTACCGTCTCTGCAAAAGTCACTCTACAATCTATGGGTTTAGCTTTAGGCGATCGTGTTTGTATTGCACCAGGTAATTCCACACCATCATCATCAGCTATACCGATCAGTGGTAAGAATCAGTCACCGTTAACAACGACGGGTGTTTCTGGTAGAATTGGTAAACTACGTTATTGTGGATCAGTTTCATTTGGTTCCGGTATATGGGTTGGTGTGGAGTTAGATGAACCAGTTGGTAGAAATAATGGTAGTGTAGCAGGAGTGAGTGTTTTCTTCTCTTTTCCCTGTTCTAAATAACAAAAAATGTTTCTATTTTTTATTTAGGTAGTTTCTTTTTCCTAAAGTTCACTTGGTTTCTGTTTTTAAAAAAATACATCAAAATGTTTTTGAACATTGAATACTACTGTAGTGAATGTGAACACAAGTGGGGACAGTGAAATATGTTTCAACACAACATTACAGAATATCTTAGTAAAAGCTGGTAATCATACAGTAAATACTTAATTTGCAAATTGTCAATCAATTATCTCCAACTTAACTGTTTCTTTTGCAATTATCAGTCAATCGTCTCAGACTTGATTGTTATTTCGTTTCCGCACCAATCACTCCTTGTTTTCGTTCTCTTTTCCTTGATATTCTGTCGCCAGACATTTCACTTTCCATTGATGATACACACTACTTATATCTGTAGTCATCAGTAGTATACATCACACTACCAGTGAGTGTCCAAAATATTTTCACTGAATCAGTGAAAACATCCTGAAAATCGTTTTTTTGGGAAATTTCACACCGAACGTAGACAATGGATTTGTAGAATAAATAGTGTAGAAGATCATTTTCAAACTCAAGAGTAAAAACGAATCAAAGAGTGAATACATCTGAGCTATTTCGACTGACTCTATTCCATTATACTTAATCTCTGCAATTATAGGTTTTAATAATCACTTTAACCCCAATTAAGTAGTTTGCACCAAACTGCACAACAAATAGGACAGATAGATGCGTTTACGGTTTGTTTAGTGATTTCCTTATAACGAGTAAAATTGTCTTTGGAAGATTCTTTGTTGTATCTTGAATTTCCATTTATAACAGAGTTGGTTTACGAAATGTAAGTTGGAAATCACTTATTCCGATGCAGATTTTCTACCCAACCTGTTTTTGCAAAATTTATACTGCATTAATCTTATCCCCTTCATGATCCTTCCTGTTATTATCAATATACATGTTCCATTTTCGTTTTCATCTTTCAAAATGTCCCTGGAAGTCAATCATTTCAGTTATCTCCTTGTTTCACCCTTTAAAATCATTTCTTGTCAGTCTCGTCTCAGTTTATTTATATTATTTATTTATTTGAACACAAACACTGGTACAAGGGGACACCAAACATATATGCGCTACACAACAATAAAGTTGTGAAGAGATGGAGAATGCAAAGTACGTATAGTGTAAAAAAGAAATTAGTGTATGAGCGTGAAATAGTTTAGTTAGCAAAAATATAACCAAAGACATTTCTTTCAGTTAAAGAAGGTAGCTTCATTTTTATGAAGAAAGTTACAGCAAGATCGTCATTCGCTTCTATTCTGAGTCATATCTGATAACGTCTCTAGCCTCTGTGTTGCACTATCTCTAGGATCACAACTAGGGAGTCGTGAAGGATTAACAGAAGTGAATTCTGTACAAATTTATTTCATACTATGACACCATGTCATACAATGACCACGTCTACGCTTTTTCCAACTGGTCCAAGCATCAGTGCTTTTTCCCTGGCAATCAGTTTATAATTAGAAATGTAAAGTCGATCGAAAAGAGCCAAATATCTTACCTATCAAAAGTTGTTTAACTTAGCTAAACCTAGTGTGTATTCAGTTATTATTACTAATTTACTTACTTAAACACATAAACATAGGTAGAAGAAGGCACCAAATAGATATGCGCCACATAAATCAATCGATTTAAGTGAGGGCTAGAATACTGTATAACTTCTCAAATCAAAGCAGATGGTTTCTTTAGTGAACCACACCTCGAGCCTTTAACCTAAATTTCCGGTCCACAACGCACTGGAGCAAACGTAAGGAGATGCATTCCCATAGTGGCTGGTGACTAATAGTTTGTTCATATCCCTTTTGTTCCTTTAGAATCCTAGATCCCATGTGCAAAATTGGTTTAGAATCAGGGTTTTCCGATTCCCCTAAGTGGACTCTTCGTGTCCACCAAACCTGTTAAAGCGCCGGACATTCGCTCTTCATTCTCTCAATTTTGAAACAACACCCCCGCCACGAGAAGGCAGTGTGTAGGAATTCTCTGGCAGTGGTTGTTCATATGAGAGCATTTCGATAGGGAGAGTTGACTCTTCTCACTCTCGGCCGTACCAGGGTATTTGGGGGCCAGGTACTATACAATTGGCTGATTTTTTATTTGATTTTGTTTCCTATTTAATAGACTGTGTAGCTCAATTCTTGTTTTGTTCAAAATTACACATATTTCTGTACGAATGCTAAATGGTCATTAATTGCTTTCAGATCTTCACTGGTTATCTAATTTAGCTTGGTTCCTTAGCTCAGTTTTTACATATAAATACAGTGTAGGTTTCTACTTGAATCACTCATTTACTGTTACACATATACAAATAACTACACCATCAGTAATTGGGATCTTTCAACAGTCAGTCAGCTACAACGTAGGACCAGGCACATATGTGCATCGGTCCAGGTCGCCATACCGCGATCTTTCAACAGACTCAATCTAAATGATATTCCTATCATTCAACGGATGTCAACCAATCAAATTACATATTCAATATAGGTCTATGGAAATTATTTAATTTTATTGAAATCATAAACCGATCTAAGGTAAACAAGCAGTGCTTCCAGTTTCTCAATGATGGTCTAACTTAGAATTGGTTCATAATCTCAATCAAATTTTAATTTCCGTATTTTGTTTTGTTCTATACTTCGTTTTTCAAAAATAAAAAAATCGAGTTTTTGTATTAAATTTCTTCTTTTTTCCTTCTTGAATTCACTATACATAGATTCAATATTTCTCTTGCCCTAATCAACATGGTATATTTGCCCCAATTGGACGAGTTTATAAAACTGTAAATATTGATGGTAAACAAAATTGGCATCCAGTTACTTCATCTACCAATACTACTAATTCTACTATTGTTAATAGACGTCCTAATAATTCATTGAATACATCAATTACTTCTAAGAAGTTGAATAATTTAAAAGAAGACAATCGTAGTAATAGTAGTAGTAATAGTAGTGGTAGTACAAGTGGTAATAATACACCTAAAAAACGTTTACCTTCATCAAGATCCAGTTATGCGATTAGTTCAACAACAATAACATCAATACCGGTGTCAACAGATACTTCACTAATAGATCATCGTAAACATCCGACAACTGTATCATCACAATTAAGTCGTACACCAACACCACCGTCAACTTTACAATCACCCGGTAATTTTTCACATGTTACAGCAAAAATTGATACTGGTAAGTGAAAAGTTAATAAGAAATGAATTTTATGTATCATTACTTAATTATATTTATTTTAAATCACAACAACCATTGACAACCATAAAGAGCTGGTTATCCGATTTTTCCTCATATAATACTACTCAGTAATACGCCTTCATAACCATAGCTGGGAAGTTGGGCCCGAGGATCTTCGATCTGACGTACGTATGCTTAGGCTATAGACAGACAAACCGATATTCAATCTTGTACAAGTTTTACTTCTATCAATCCATAATAATACATGACTCTCTTCCATTGTCTTTCGTGGATGACTTCCTCATACCAAACATGGTTGGACTCCACTAAACACGACTCCTAACTAGAACTCTGAAATTTTCCTCTCAATCCTAGTCTCTAATGTATTGTACTATTAATGGCATTTTACGATGTGACCGTTCAAAATGGCAGTGTATTTCCTATCCACTTCCAACGTCTTTTCCTAATTTCCTCTTCAGCTGGAAGCTGGTTGAATATTAAAGTTCCAATAACAGAACTCATCCTGATGATAATTCACAACATATACTAGTTTTAGTCTCATAATAACCATTACAAATTAGAAGGTATTTCATAGCTGTTTCAATTCACTATATATTTATTAATTGATAGATAACTATGACACCACTAAAGAGTGTTAAATCTTACATGATCGAATTGTACTACCACTTATGAGTAAATAGCAAACTCTAACTTAGAATCCAGAAGGTAATGAGAGAAAAGAAAGATCAAAGTACATATTACGCTAAGAATTGGAGACAGACATCAAAAGAATGAATAACACTTGACAATAATTGGAATAAAGTGCTTGGGACAGAGTAGTTTTGTTAATTCCCGGTCGACGGCCCATGCTTTGATATGACGGGATTTAAAACAATGAATGAAAAAGTTTTCTTTCATTTAACAAATTGAATGGCATAGGTACTCACCTGTTTATTATACTTCGTACCATATATGTAATACACATTAAATAGTCATAAATATTTCATATCAGGTTTGGTAATAACCACCTCATTTAGTACAGTTTACAATTTATGCATATTTGTATGTTTATTTGTGTGTTTCTTGGAACCATCAACATCATTGTCATTATATAAAGAATTTAACGGTGAATCGCTTTGATACGCCCAAATACTTTTTTTGTACTTGTTGTTCTTATAAAGATGATTCATTTATACAACTAATTATAATATTCACTTGGTATTGTTTTGCTTCTATCTTCCCGTTGAGATTTGAGACTGCAATTGATCAGTCTGGGAAGATACAAACAAAACAATACCAAGTGAATTTAAATTCACCCCATTGCACAAGTAAGTGGCTATCAGGACTCAATAGGTAAGTGAATAACCCGATGGCGTTTGAAGCGATTGGTACTGGGTTCGAGTCCCAGAGTGAACATCAACTCTGAGATGCAGGTACATCCAGCTGGTGAGTCCCAAATAGGACGAAGCGCGCGTCCTGGATTCCACTGCTAGCTGCTATCCATCTGTGTTTAATTATAATATTTTATTGAATAAATTTCAATAAGGCTTTGTACTATCTTGTTTTACTGATAATAAAGGCTTCAACCGAATACACCCATTAAGACATTAAATAGGAAAGATTAGTTCAATGAAGAGTTCTCCCTTTTTCGCCCAATTCATTTTCAAAGCTGTACAATCGTATATATATATATATATATATATATATATATATATATATATATATATACCTATTTTTACACGATAATAATAATACTGATAATAAACTTCTGTTATACATGGTGACAGTAAGGTTATATAAATAAAGGTATTAAAATATTTAAAACAAGGAAGCCACACCGAACAATGTTCTTGAATTCTTTTGGATAAAGTACGGTTAAAAAGAGAAGGCTTAATAAGAAGTTCAATAATTGAACACCTTGTGAACACAGGTCATTCAATCAAAACAGACTCTGCGTTCAAAGTCATCTACAATGTTAGTAGAAGTCTTCCAAAGACAATTAAACTGCATCTTCTTTGCATTGCCGAAGCATTAGTCATACATCTGGAAAAACCAGAATTGTGTGTGCATAAGAAACAGATACAACCTCTTCTCCCATCATAATCTTAATTTCTTATAATTTTTTTCTCTTTTCCATACCCTTCTTCCTTAACAGCCATCTGCTTCACCTTCCATCTTCCTCTTAAATCTTCTACCCCCAACTGGTTTATTTTTGTTTTCACTATCGTTCTGATTACATTTAATCTCAAATTCAACATTTTATCTTATCATACTGAACTATCTTTTGATGAATATGTAAGCCATTCATAATGAAACAATTATTGGACTTTCCTTGTTTTAAATATTTTCATACCTTTGTTCATTTAACCTCATTGTCACCATATCTAACAGAAGTTTATTATCAATATTATTATCATCCTGTAAAAATAAATCTGTATATTTGTGGTTGTACAGCTTCGTTCATCTTCAGGATTGCAAGTTAGGACTTGTTTCATGATGTAGTTTGATGATTTCCTCAATGTGTCCTATCCACTTCCTATGTCTTCTTCATTTCCTCTTCGTCCAGAAGTTGGCTTGTTCTGTCTTACAGTAGGCTGTTGTTGATGGTATCCGGCCAACGGACATTCAGTATCTTACGTTGACAAGTGTTTATGAATACTTGTACCTTTTTGATGATAGTTATGGTAGTTCTATGATTCGATTATCAATGACATAGACATCAATATAACAGTTATTAATTTGTCACTCACTTCAACTGTACAAGTCGAAACAATACAACATTTCAGTTCGTCCTTTCAAATTTCTCAAATTGTAAATAACGTGATAATTTGCTTAAATTATCCCATCACCTCTCATAATTATCTTAGGATTACGTGTTCGTTCACCGGATATCAGTCGAAGTCATCATTTTCAAATTGGAGATCGCGTACTAGTAGCTGGTCAACGTAGAGGTGTTTTACGTTTCATCGGACAAACGCAATTTGCTCCAGGTATCTGGTATGGTATTGAATTAGAACAAGCTGTTGGTAAAAATAATGGTTCTATCAATGGGATACGTTATTTTGATTGTGCTGTCGGTCATGGAATATTTGCACCGATTAGTCGTATACAGAAATTGCCTACAAGACCAAATACACCAAACTTAAATAAACTACCAGATAATCCAACAATGATGACTACATCATATCATTCAGAACAAGTTGATGGAGTAGCAAGTAGATCATGGTGTTGTCGTCGCACACCATGGTCTAGTACCACATCACCAATGATTGGACGTGCTGTAATTGGTCGACCACCGCTACCAACAGAATTAGTCAATGCATTGAAAGCTGTTGGACGTGTACCAGTTGAGTCAGTCGAAGAACCAGTGTTTTATTTAACAGAAGGAATGCAAGTTTTATGTGCTGGAGAAATTGGTAAGTTGATTTATTGCTTATTTGTTTTTAAAACTTCTTTGAATGAAGTGATGTACCAAGCAATAAGAGCGATATAATAAGATTCAGATTCAGATTCAGATTTGTGTAGTAAGGACAGAAGGCCTACGGCCTATGTTATTCCTTTTCTAGTATGCTTCTGTGAGTGTCCAGTCTTCTCTTGAAAGAGTCAATTGAAGGTGCGGATACCACTGCTTCAGGCAGCAGGTTCCAAGTATTGATGACTCGGTGTGAAAACCTGTATGCCAGGGGTATTTTGTTCGTTCTTGGCTTTTCTACTCGCCTGCTATGTCCTCTGAGGTGTCCCGATCTAGTGGGAAGAAAGAGAGAGAATAAGTTAGGTCCGAAATCATTTCTCAGTATTCTGTACATCAATATTAGATCTCCCCTTAGTCTGCTATAGGACAGAGTAAAGAGGTTCAGTTTTTCAAGCCGCTCTTCATATGATAAACCCCGGAGTTCCGGAATTGCACGCGTAGCTGCCCTCTGTACCTTTTCTAGTATGTCTGAGTCACCTTTTAAACAGGGGTTTGCAGCCTGAACACAGTTCTCTAACTTAGTTCTCACTAAGGATGTGTATAATGTGGTGAACATGGTAGTATCAAGCTTAGTGAATGTCCTTTTTAAAGCCCAGAGGGTTCGAAACCCCTTAACTGCGACCTCCCGGCAATGGGCCGTCGTCTTAAGATCATTGCTCACTGTCACCCCTAGGTCCTTATGAGACCGGACTATGGGTAATGACACATCCCCTATGTTGTACGTATTAACCTTTGAATCCCCCAAGTGCATGTAGACACACTTTTCCGAGTTGATAGGCATTAGCCACTCTTTAGACCAGTTTATCATATTATTTAAGTCCGCCTGAAGAGTAACTGCGTCTGTGTCACCAGTTATTACTCGCCAAATTTTTACATCGTCAGCGTATAATAACATTGGAGACTGTACTATACTTGTAAGATCATTAACATACATTATAAAAAGTAAAGGACCTAGGACGGAACCTTGGGGTACTCCACTAAGTACTGGTCTCCAGATGGAGCACTTGGAATTTATTCTTACTTTTTGCCTACGACCTACTAGGAAATCCTTAATCCATTTTAAAAGAGGTCCGGCAATACCAAGGTTTGCCAACTTCAATACCAGTCTATTAGTTGGCACCTTGTCAAAAGCCTTACTGAAGTCTATGTAGACAACATCCACTGAGTTTCCGTTGTCTAGCGCATTAATCCAGAGCTCCCTAGCTATAAGGAGGTTCGTTGTACAGAATAGACCCTTTCTAAAACCATGTTGTGCCATGTTCAGCAAGTTATTGGTTTCCATAAATGCCGTTATGGTCCGTTTGATTATCCCTTCCAGTATTTTAATTACAACACTGGTGAGGCTTACGGGTCTGTAATTTGATGGAACTTGTCGTAGACCAGTTTTATGTATGGGAGTGACGATTGCGTCCTTCCAGTCCATAGGTAACACACCTTGGTCAAGTGACATTTTGAATATCACAGTCAGTGGGGCTGCGATATATTGGGCAATATGTCTCAAGATTTTAGGGTGTAGTTCATCTGGTCCTGTTGACTTCTCCATGTTTAGGGTGCTAAGAGCCTTAAGCACATCGTTTTGGTCGAAGTCCACGGTGAGCAGCTGGTTTGTTGACTCTGTAATTGGGTCTGGTTCTTTCTCTAGAGGAGGTTCCTGAGTGAAAACTGCCCCAAAGTAGTCAGCCATAATCTCAGCTTTTTCCTGATCTTCCTCTATCATTTCAGATTCACTTCCTACTTTAATTAGGTTGGGAATCCAGTGATGAGTCCTTGTTCTGTAGTTTATGTACGAGAATATCCTCTTGGGCTGCTTGAGTGCAGATTCTGCCAGCTGCATTTCGTATTTTCTTTGCGCTTCCCGAATTTTAGTTATACACACGTTTCTTATCGATCTGTAGCGTTCCATCGTACCTGCTGTGCCAAGGCGGATGGCAACATCCCAGCATTTCTTCTTTTGTCTTAGTAAGCGTCGAATATCCCGCCCTGACCAGGGATGTCCGTGCTTCTTTTTCTTTGGAACTGTCCAGGGTATATATGGTTGAGTTACCCGATTGTATAACTGCCTGAATAGAGTCCATGCCTATTGTTCTGATGCCCTTGAGTCAATTTCCCAGTTCTCAGCCGATGCTGCGGAGTTAATTGCCTCTATATCTGCCTTCCATATGTTAGGACGGGCCGGCGCAATTGTTTGACAAGCAATCTCAGCCATGAATTTGAATAAGATGACTGCATGGTCACTTCTCCCAAGTGGTGGGAGAAAAGCCTTTTGACCAACGTCATCACCGTGTGTAAAGACTAAATCTAAAAGAGAAGAAGAGTTTCTTAAGTCGTACCTTGTGGGATCTCTAATGTGTTGGAATAATGCTAGTCCAATCGAGGTTTCTAAAAGTTTGGAGTCGAACGACGATATAGATGACTCTACTTCTAAGTTAACCCAGTTTATATATGGTGCATTAAAGTCGCCTACTACAAGGCTTTTACCGTTGTTACACCAGGACTTAAGTTTACTGAGGAGAAAATCATCTGCTACACATTCTGGACTGCGATAAACTACAACTAATTCAATATCTTGCCTTCGGCATTTCAACTTACATCTCATCAGTTCACATGTCCCTGAAACATGTGCTACTGTCTCAGCTAATCTTATGGTTAGGCTACTTTTCGTGTACACAATAACCCCGCCTCCCCTTCGGTTTAATCTATCAGCCCTACTGGTTATGAAACCAGTCAATTGGATTTCACTATCTAATACTTCTGACGTTAACCAAGTTTCCGATACAGCGATAACGTCCGGTTTTTCTTTATCCACCACTGACTTCAGCTCCGCCATTTTATTTAGTAGGCTGCGAGCATTTGTGTAGCACACTTTTAAGTCTGTGGAGAGCTTTCCCTTGCCACCCAGAGTGGCTTGGGGATCGTTTTGCTCCGAACTTTTACAATCTGAAAACCCTTAAGAACGAGGTTTCTTTCACCATTTCGGCGACGCTCGTTTATTTCCGCTTCTGCAGCCCTTCTCTTAATACGATCAGCTAGGCTGAGGTCCTCACGGACATATATTCCGGACCCAATCAGTTTACGTGAATTACTTAGAACCAGGTTCCTTTCTTCCACCGTGTTGAGTGTAACCTTTAGGAGGCGGTTTTTCTGAGGACTTTCGGAATCCACCTTTTTTCCTATTCTATAAAGCTTACAAATACTAACTCCTGAAACTGTATCTGGGAGTAGTTTACTTAATGATGTCTTAATATGATTGAGATCATGTTCAAATCTTGTCTTTGGTTCAGTGTCTGAAGATTCTCTTATCTTATGAAAAATGACTGATCTCTCAGAGAGATCTGTCTTTTCACGCGGTGAGGATTTTTCTTCTGATAAAGTCCCTTCCAATGTCTTGCTGACCAGCTGCGTTTTGCCTACAGCCTTTTTCTTCTTATTTTTTTTTCTTCTTACCGGAGTCCATTTGTCACCACTCAGAACAGCCACACCTGGACTATGTGGAACGGTGACAGTTTTATCCGGATCTTCTATTTCGACTAGGGGTGTATGACTGCCGATGTCAATATCAGGCGACACTTCATTTCTCGTTAATGTCAACGGAGATTTCACGTTCCCGTCAACCGCAGTCAGGTGTTTAATGGGTCCAGTAGCAGCACTTACTACACTGACACATTCTTCATCGTCAGTACTCCTGTTATCAGTGCTTCCACCATCGTTTTTCTTGCAGGCCAAAGCCAATAGGCCCATAGCCTCCTGTATTAGTACCTTTTTATCCGTACAGCAGAACACACAAAGCCAATGCGAGTTAGGCTTCGAGCATCTTTTGTAAGCCGTCGGACTTAGTCGTGTACACATTTTGTGATACCACTTTTTACAGTCGTCACACTGCATTCCCTCATCAACGGAGAACAAACAATTTGGTTGCCCGCATTTGTGAGTCTTACCAACCATTGTAATTCGATTTAAAAGGTTTAAAAACAAAAAACGATAACAATGTGAACACAGGTCTTAGTCAAGGACTAAAAACAGGTGCCCAGGACAAAATGTAGCAAAAAATTTCAAACTTTAACCAAAGAACTCTTAGTTAAAGTAGACCAAGAATGCTTTTTAGTGCAATAAGTACCAAAAGCAAGTATAATCACAACAAGTACAAAAATCACTGCCCTTTTTGAAATTAGCGCGCTCACATACTGTCTTAAATTCATACAGATAATGGTATGTCTAGAATCGATCATGACGACGATGTGATACATTCATTCTTCCGCTTAAATCTTGACTTTGAGAATTTTTTCACGTTTTTTATTCCAGACATTCACACTTGTTTTTCTTGAATCATATTGACTATGCTTAATGTTTTCTACTATCATTAATATTGTCATTACATCTACTACTACTCTCCCATGCATTTTCATAGTATAATCTTTCTGTGCTAATATCGTGCGAAAACGTGAACTAGTACTTAAATAAGTCAAGTTCGATATTGTTTAAGACAAGAGAATAATTAGTAAAAATCATGGACATTATGTTTATTATTAATTACATTCAACATTCTATATATCTACGTCTAGTATTAACTTCTCAATCTTAATTTTGCTGTGTGAAAATCCCTCAACATATTTCAGTAATATGGATGATATTATTGTGTTTACTGGTGGTAATATGAAAAGTGGATGTTAAATACCGGGATGGAGAGCGTTTACTCTCCCTCTCGAAATCCTTTCATATGGCCACGATTATATCGTCATTGCCAGGTAAGTCCTAACCACTGCTTTCTCATGTCGGGAGTGTTGTTTACGAAATCGAGAGGAGAAATATCGAATGTCCTGCGCCTATATCACATTCGTGTGTGTGAAAGTTCTACCTAGGGGAGTTGGAAAACCCTAATTCCAAACCAATCATTCTTATGGGCCTCGGGAACAAATGACGTATGAATTCATTGTTGATTACCGGTTATTTAGGGACAACATCTAACTTTTTATCCTCTTTAATTTATAGGTATTGTTCGATACATTGGACCAATTACATTTGCTGAAGGTATTTGGCTTGGTATTGAATTGCGTAAACCACGTGGACGTCATGATGGATGTGTTGCTGGGCGACGTTATTTCACATGTCGTCCTGGTCATGGTCTATTAGTTCGACCAGCTCGTGTGTTTTGTCATGGTATAAATGCTGTTAATCTTCTTCCACCTGCTTTAGCCGAATTAGAACGTCAACTAGCTATTAAGCGTCAAGAGTCAGCAAACAGTTGTAACAGTGGTAGTAGTAGAGTATCTTCAGCAAATTCAATTAACTCTGATAATGAACAATCTTCAAAGATTTCGGTATAAAATAAATTACAGAGGAGAAAAAAAATGTTTCATAATGAATTTTCCTGAAGTGTCATTTTCTTGTTGGCATTTTGCAAAAATGATTCTTCCCATCCTTACTATAAACCACCCAATTATGAAATAGATCATAATTATCCCATTTTTCTTTGTTAAACGCATTTACACTGCTTATATTCTTTGTTTTACGATCTTCGGTTTTTGTATTCGCATAGTATAGAACTCTTCTGAAGGCGAAAAGAAATAAATTTGCCGACTTTCTTATTTATTCACGATGTTTTTCTTATGGAGCATTTCTTTGAACTGGTTACATTCATTGATTATGTTTCATTAAATAATGAGACTAGAAAACTTACTTTTTATTGAAGCTTTTACGCTTTATTTTCACTTGATTTCTTTGGTTATTTTTGCCTTATTTTCTTCCGTTTTTTCATCTAATATCTTTCAGTGTTTTCATGACACTGTTGTTGCTGTTGTTGTTGTTGGTAGCATTAGTTTCTCACTATTAGTTGTTTTGCTTATTAATTTTTAACAGGCAAATTTAACACATTCCTACCTTGTTTTTCAGAGCTTGAAAATACTTAATTTCTTTCTTTTTTGAATATAAAAATAGACTACTTAATCATAATCTAAGTAGTATACGTTTATTTGTCGAAATAATATTGATTTTGTTTCAGTATAATTTGATTTTCTTTTCATTTTTCTTGTTTAAAAAAACTTTGAAGTTCATTTTCATTCTTTATAATTTGCTTGTATGTGATTTTTAAATGTGCGCCTACACGTTACTGAAATTGAATTTTCATCATGAAAAATAACATGACCTAATCTAAATCTTTTTTGAATCACTAGTCATCATTTATAAAATAGATCTTGTTTTTATTTTATTTTGCGGTTCTAACGGCTTATTGTTTGGTGTTTGCATTAAAACTAGGTTTGTGACATACTCAATCATGATCAGTAAAAACATGGCTTTGATCATCATCATCATTGGGATGTTATTTTTGTAAACGACATTTGAATATCAATGCTCAAGTATCGTTTATCCAAAGTCACTTAATCAAACTATTTCAACCAAGTTATCTGAATCACCATGTTTTTAACATTTCAGTTAATTATTCAACGTCTTGGATTGTAAGCCGTTCCAGGATGTTTTTTCAAGCATACTCCACTTGACATTGAGAAACATTATTTATATTTGTATCACTGATGTTTCCAAATATTCCTTAACATATATCTGTAGGTCCTAAAATGGTATTGGTATGTTCAGAATGAATCTTGTTAAGAAGGTGACTTTGTCTACCCCTTTACAGAATAAGACTGTTTATTGCATTCACTTTAATTTAATTAAATTATCTCTACGTAAAATGTGAATTGTGTAGAAGTAAGCATGATGATCAACCCCTACTCAAAGTATTCCATTGAATCAAACAATCTCATCCATTAATAGTAAAACTGTTAGGGTTTAATCATAAGTGGTAGCAAAAATGTTATTGTTCCTTATGAAATATGTTTACATGCCTTGTCTCTATTGTAATTTTGAATTACAGTATCCAAAACATGACAATTCTTTGGTTTATGCTAAAAGCACAGATTTTATGGGTAAAACAATAATGAGATTGCTATGAATTAATTACGATTTTGAAATTAAGGTCAATGTAATAAACGGTTATGTGCAAAAAAAAATCACAGTTTCTTGAAATGTGCCGATGATATTTTAAAATCCAATTGCCAATTGTAACTTTTAGTTGATAATAGAAACCAAAATAAGAAACCATAACCCTTTTAACCCCGTTGACCTAACATGAAATTCGCATAGTTATCCCATTTTCTCTGAAAATTATTCAACACTGTCCTATGACTTGGTCTGGTAAGAAAAAAAAGCAAAATAAAACACCCAAGGGAAAGTTTAATCAAAATGTCGAAGCTATTTATGAGAATGATTCAGTAGAACATTTAGTTATTTTGAAAAAAAGTTGGAAAATAACTTACATCGCTATCTTGTGTTGATGAAGTGTTCAGTGTATTAATTTTACTCGACGTCATTCCCATTGTCGATTGGATTGGTTTAGTTGGATTTGGTTCAGTTAAACTTTTTCGTGAAAGCAAAGAATTGAAAAAGCTACTTAGTACGGCTTCTTTGTCCGATGTTGATCCAGGTTTAGGTTGATTAGGCAAATTGGATGAGAGACTTTCAGTTAATAACTAAAAAGGGAATAATTATGAGTATATGCTTGTTGAAATCTTTGTGTAATACTGAATTCATGACCACCATTTAAAACTTAGAAGCACCAGACTGCCGTTTCATTCAAATATCGTACTCCCCGACAGTGAGCGTCGACGATACCGCTATTGCGCAACCGTCTTCCATTGTCTTCAATGAGTAACTGCCTCACCACTGACACAGGTGAATTACACTGGTCACGGCTTCTCACTAGAACTTTGAGTATGCCCTCTCGAATCTAGTCATTAGTGAACACATGATAATTGTCAGTACAGTATTGGGGAGATTGACGAGTTTCATCGTTGTGTGTCAGTTGAGTGGTCTGGATTTCAAGCGTTCGCTGTCAATACCGAATGTCCTGGGTTTTATTCCTTCTTGTGTGATCGTGGATTCGCACTACTGAGAAGTCCCATGCTGGAACGAAACGGCCGTCTAATGCTTCTAGGTTTTGAATGGTGGTCTAACATTGGTCGGCTCATTATTTCAGTGGAAATAAGAATAGAATGATAATTTATGAAGGTTATAAGAATAAAATAACAATAAGATCTGTTTAATTAGCTTAATAAACACGCTCTTATGGCATTAAATCAATTCTGAGGATTTTTTGTTAAATCATTCTAATAACCAAATATTTTTATACAATAGGATCGAATAGTTAAAATGTTATTGTAACTTACTGGAGTTTCTCTTGTTTGATTACTTATTGTTGAACTAATCGATGTCGTTGTACCACTTAAACTACCTGGTAATGAACTTGTAACTGTCGACATAGGCATATTGGCTAATATTGTTTGCATTCGTTTTAAAAAGTGTTGATCATCTTCAACAGTTTGTAAAATATTCACTTCTTCTGAAGGATTGGTATCTATTCCACCTGTTTTTGTAACTGTATCAAAAGATTAAAGATGTCACTTCATTAAAGTTTGTTTTATTTAAATAACTTTTTATGTAATAGGACACCTCTAAATTACCTTCTAACTGATTGACATACATTTATGAGCTTGAAGATGTCTCCAGTTATTAAGCGTCTATATATATCCTGATGTTTTGTAGTTTAAGGTAGTCGGTATGAGTCTCTGGATTGAGATTTAGTACTGATTGATGCTTATCGGCAAGATAAGTCTATAATCTCGAGCGAACTAAAATTCCCATTAGGGTTCGAACATGTGATACTGACAAGTGATTTCCTGTACGACTGGTATATTTTACATCGAACGATCTTGAAGTAGTGACCAATGTTATGTCTACCTGTCCAAGGGATTTTATATTTTTCGAATGGCTAAATAACTTCGTGACCCGGACTTCTTAATGTCGACCATTAGATGTCCTTCCGATTTGAAACAGAATTACCTAATGACTCTTAATAAACATGAAACATTTTTACAAGTATTGTAATGTCTACGAATTACTTCACAGGATTTTAAGACGAAAAAGACTAAATCGGCTAAATTTGTTGTTTCCCAAGATGTTAGTCTATCCATTTAACATTATACTTTCAATTTTGTAACTAAATAACCCATTTAAACTTCAAAAACGATATAAGTGTCTAGAGGTTTTTTATAGTTCAACAGCTTTCCGACATATTTTTTTACCAGATGGGTTTTGTGGATATTATGGTAATTTCAATGGTTAAGATCATGAGTCAGTTGAATCGAGACCACCATGGAAAACCTGGAAGCGCTGGACGGCCGTTTCGTCCTATCGTGCGACCCCTCAGCAGTGCGCATCCAAGATCTCACCCCCTGCGAGGCTCGAACCCAGGAACCACTGGTTTCGCGCGCGAGCACTTAACCACTAGACCACATTTTTTTCTTTAGTTTTCAATAGTACTATAACTACTAATCGATCCACAAATGAAATTGATCACTCTGAAGTGGTTTAACAATAATGAGGATTATAGAGGAAATGAATCTGGATAACTTCTGTGCTCAAGTATCAATTACATGATTAATGAATACAGAATGATAAGAAAACATACCACATGATGTTTTTCTTCTTAATTTCGATGGTTTCGTAATAATCTGATTATAATTACAATCAATTAAATTTGATGATAAATTTTTTTTAAATAATTCTAATCGATGTAAACTATCCCAACCAGCAGGTCTTTATTTATTAAAGAAATTGTAAAATAGAATAGCAAAACGTGAATGAATCAGTAATGTTTTATAAGAGGGAAAAGTACAGAACTAATAAGATGTATTTTATCATTAATAATCAAAATGAATTGTCCTATTGTAAATATTCAAGATTGAATTTTGATCAATCTTTTTTTCGGTAATATGCACACTTCATATGAACTGATTCATTATAACTATTTTGTAATGCAACATGTCCAATTCATCCTATGTAATGCATACCTGTTGAATGTATATGCACACATTGATGGTGTTCCCTAAATGCCCTGGTATGGCCGAGAGTGGGGTGGGCCCACCCTCGCTCTCGAAATGCTCTCACACGGCCACGCGTATACAGCCTCTGCCAGGGAAGTCCTGCTCACTGACTTCTCGTGGCGGGGGTGTTGTTTATGAAAACGAGAGGACGAAAAGCGAATGTCCGTCGCTTTAACCGGATTCGAAATCAATGGTGCACATGGGCTTCAGCATCCTGCGGGAACACATGGCGTATGAACCAACTGTTGGTAACCCGCTACCATGGGACTGCATCGCCTCACGATGCTCCACTGCCTTGTGGGTCAGACCTTTAGGTCAAAGGCTCGGGGTGTGGCCCCCTAAGGAAACCTGGCCTCCGAGTTGGGGATGTTAGACGACTCTCTGTGTTCGATCATCGCTGTCTCCGAAGGATTGCTCACATCCAGTGGCAACACCATGTTAGTAATGCAGAGGTTCGGCATTGTGTGTTCGGGCACAGAGATGATAATTCAATTGGTGTCACCATCTTGAAACACCGACTTCGGTGGCTTGGACATGTTCTACGAATGTCGTCCCAGAGAATTCCACGTCGTGCATTATTTGCCGACTCTAGGACTGGTTGGAGGAAGCGGAGAGGTGGTCAGTATATGACACGGTGTCTTGGCATGAAAGAAAGCTTCAAAGGGCTGGCTTGTGTTGGTCCTTCACGACTCCCTGGTTGGGGTCCTAGGGATGGTGCTACACAGTGGCTAGAGACGTTATCAGATATGGCTCAGAATAGAAGCCATGGGTGATCCTGCTGTAACTTTCTTTTACTTTCTTCATAAAACGTGGTTGTATCTTCCTTAACTGAAAGATCTCTTCTGATTATACGTTTCTGTTTTCCCCCATTATTTTTTTTATTATTACACTACCTTACACTAATCTATTCGTTATTGTTCTTTTTTTTCTAACGCTCCTTACCTTTTCTTTTTTACCTTCTTCTCTTCGAATTCTCATTGTTTTGTGTGGCGCATATATATTTGGTGTCCTCTTGTACCAATATTTATGTGTTCAAATAAATAAATAACATTGATGGTGTATACATTGGGACTTGAATCTAGTACATTTCGCTTAAAACCTTTTCTAATAATGATATAACCATCATACCACTTCAATATACTAATAACTATCTGATCTCAGTTAATAATGAGCTAAGTGTTTTAAACGAAATCTACTGGCTTTTAGTTTCAATATGAACATTAAGACTAGGATCCAGATAAATCAATAGAAGTGAATGAATGACTTCTATTTGAAGTTTGTGCTGATGATGTCGTTCAGAAGAACGATGAAAGCTCCACGATCAAACCATCCAGCTCAGAGAACAAAACTCCACCAAAATATTTGATGTGAATAATTTGCTCAATAATATATAATAACAAAAACTGGTATCGGTTTTAACATTACATAACAGTAAGTGGTTCCGATTAACTCTCTAGATGCTTGTATAACTTTACTTATTTCTTTAAAAATAAGTTTCCATTAGTCCAAGAATTATTTTCAGAAGCATGTTTGTATAAAGTAACCATATATCAATTACTTTATCTGTTGTTCACATACTTAATTCAAATCAACTTAATTGACCAAACAAATACACAGAGACTTGAACCCATTATCATTCATTTCAAAATCCAATACGTTATCTACTAAGATTATGAGTTCAGTTAACTACCAACTTGTTTATCAAGTACTTCAACAAATGCTTGTATCGAAACTTAAGCTCATTACCTTCAGTACTGAAATGCAGGTATATACAGCTAACCAGTTTGGAATAAAGTGAAACATGATTCCTGTATTTCATTACAAGCTATATACTAAATGCTATATTGACACAAACCACTCATGGTGTGTAGTAACAGGGACTGATCAGTTGTAAACCTTTTCATCCACAACGCAAAACTACAGAATCTTATTGAATGATATACACCTATATCTATGAATTCACATTAAACATCGAAAAAACGTCTTACTGAGAAAGGTATGTGTTAATAACGAGAATGGTATAAATAATTGTTTGCCTTTAGGTAATACTGTGGTGTATGCTAGTTATGTTGACAATTATAAGTAGTGTGTGACACAATCGAGAAGTTAAAAACCTGGCAACAGTGGATTGAGAAGATGGAATTGAAGAAAACATGAATGTAAACAGATAGTAGTTGTAATAACAACAGAATCGGAAGAATCGTCAAGAATATAGTTCCCAGTGGAAATGTCAGTTTTCCATAATTCAGTGGATGACATAAACATTAAAAATTGTTTGACAGTGTTAAATAATTATTTCCCTTAGCTCTTTTCTTCTATTCAAATAAAGTATATAGGTATATATTACTTATCAGAATACTGATTATTTTCAAGGCGATTTTAGTCTTCCTAAAAAGTCGATCTTAATGAATATGACTTATAAGTAGACATTGAAACATTGTAGAGACTGATTAGGAACTTCAACAGCTCATATGAACTACTACCCAACTAAACTGCATTGTAAAGGAAATATCAACAACATAATTAGAACTTACATAAAAATAGCTTTCGGATCAACGAGCATAGCTGAACTTTTTAATGGTAGATCAAATAGACGATGTTTAATATAATTAACCAAAGTATTTGTATTGATGTCCTCTTTGATTGACAAATAGATTAAAGCAGCTCCATCTTGTCGAATGTTTTGATTTGTTTACATGCATAAATATTTAAGGTAATACAGCAGAGCATTGATGCTAGTAAATACTGAGAACCAAAAAGTAGTGATCAGTTATCTTATCCTAATATTAAATTCTCTACAATCTACAATCATGAACCTACTGTAGGGAGGTTAGAAGGTCTTTTGGTTACAGATGACCCACAAGACCTAAATTCCATTCTTTACCTGAATCATAACCATTTATTGATTATCAAGCTTGTTGGGATATTCAGGAAAATATCCCAAAGATTATTCTGCTAATCCTAATGCTATCCTTCGACATGAAATGGTATCATCTTATTGGTCAATATTTATTTGACGTGTTATTTTCCTGTTGGCCATTACTGTACATTGTTATCTTCTATTTTATGGTACGTTGTGGACTGCTTGAATGGTATATAAACAAAGTATGTTTGAAATATAATGATTCATATATCCGAGGCTGAGACTTTCGTTCTGGACTCAATTGGCTGGGCTATACAGGGAAGCGAGACCAATCAGAACCCTAGGTTGTTCTACGTGTTTGCACGTCTTTGGTCCGATCAATAATTCGCACCCCTTAATCCGCAGCAAATATTTTTCACGTTATAACAAAGCTCATGACGAAATAGATTATTTGTTTAGTGCTCATTGTGTTTGTTGTGGATGCGGAGAAATAGACCAATAATTATGATGTTAAGTCCAATGGTGTCCTTGGACTTTAAATGGACATTTCCTATTGGTCGATATCTGTTCACTCGTTGAATATTGTACAAAATGTTGTTTTCTATTTTTATGGTACGATGTGGTATGCTTGATTGGTATATAAACAAAGTGTGTTTGAAATATAATGATTCATAACCCAGAGGCTGTGACTTGCGTTCTAGGCTCAACTGGCTGGGCTAGACAGGGGAGCGAGACCAATCAGGGCACTAGGTCGTCCGCACGTGTTTTCCGTGTCACTGTAATCGATCGATCGATCGATATAAACGCTGCTTATTAAAACCTGCAGTCACACCCGTTACAACAGTGTTTTTATGATTGTCCCGGACAAGTATGTCAGTGAGTTGAACTAACTTCAGACAAACTCTTCATGTTAATATCCATATAATATAAATCAACTGAAGTTTTGATTGAGAAACATTAAATTTGAACTGTACTTATAAATAATATTATATATGCTATGAAATATGAAAGCCCTAGACACAATGTCGCGTAATATCATTGGATGAGTATCGAATAGATCAGTATAGACCTAAATAACACAATGACAAGGTCGTTATTCCAATGAAGAACTACATTCCCTTCAATATTGATGAAACACTTTGCGGATGAATGATACTTACGAGACAACTTGTTTCTAAGGAGCTTTTCTCAGTCGACTATTTCAAATCAACACACCAAAATCCATGTTTTTCATTAATTTCATCAGTCGTATTTTATTTATTTTTATCAAAATTATTTTAACATTTAGAAAAGGATACATTCAAGGCATAATTTACGTAGATGATATAGAATATAATCGAATTTTTCATCTGTGAAACCGAATTCCTTTTCAAGAATATCAGTCATATCTGTCTACAAATGTTCACAAAAAAGATAAAGAAAAGTCGAAAAAAAGGAACAAATTAGTCATCCCAAATCTTTTTGAATGAATTCCTTTCTGATAATTTTGATTATTTTAATAGTTGAATTCATGAGCATTCACGCACGAGATCGATAGGTCCTGAGTTCAAGTGCCTTTCGTACGGAATCGTGGGTGCGAACTGCTGAAGAGTCCCACACCAGGATGAAACGGCTGTCCGTTTCTTCGTTACACTAATGAAATTTATTAAAATGATCGTTTCTAAGAAATTTATGTTTTCTTAGGATTTTGAGTGAATATTTTTGATCACTTGCAATCTTGTATGTAACCAAACTGGAAAATACAAACCTTTACAAGTCAATCGATTTTCTGTTGAATAAACTAGTGATTATCTGGATTCACCATTTCAGTGGATAACGTATTGGTGTTTGAAGTGATTATGTGATGCGTTTAGTTCTCAATATGAACGTCAATACCGAGATGATTGTTCATCCTGCTAACGAGTCTTAAATAAAACAGAATCCATAACATACATTTCACTACATATCATTGCTCAACGTTAAAAACATTTTTTGATTGAGATCATGAACTGATTGATATTAGACCGCCAATGAAAATCTGGATATACTGGACGGCCGTTTCGTCCTGGTACAGGTCGACTCAACAGCGCGCATCCACGACCTCTTTCAAAGGGTTCGAACCCGAGGCCCTCAGTCTTGCGCGCGAATGCTTAACCTCTAGACCACTGAGTCAGCATCCGAAAGTGTTAATGTCTAACTTCCACCAATCCACAAAATTGTGCGACCATCTACCAGACACGGATTAACTCGATTGGTCACGGCTTCGCACAAGAACTCCGAGAATTTTCTCACAAACATAGTCACTAGTGAGCACATGTGAGTGAATGACAATTCAGAATATTTAATTACAGTGCTTTAGCAAATAATATGGGCTATAGAAATTGTAAAAGCAAATCATATTGAATAATGCCATACATTCTTTCAACTACTCTAATATACTGAACTACACGAACTAACGCATAATATTGTGTTAATATTTCATTTTAATTGAATTAATTGACATGTGTTTATTCTTGTGACAAAAAATATCATTGGCATAGGACAAAATTTCAATTCACCACTTCGTGTTTTATTGTACAAGAAAGAAAAACCGCCCAAAAAAAGTTAATCGAACTACTTAAACAAAATATCTCATTACAAAAGAAAAAGTCACTTTAGTGAATTAATCAATAAATGATCATAATCAGTACTTGCCTGTATAGATATATACACGTATATCTATGCATAGTAACATACACTAGGAAATGTTAAATTTCAAGTCACAATCATTGTTTAAGTCGGAGGTGATGTTGAAGGGCACAAATGTATATGAATAACTGTTCAGTTACATCAAGCATAAATAGTTTTCTTTTGTTTACTCAAAGATTATTATAAAAATCGATAGTCTGTACTTCTTGTTTTGAATTATCATATATAAACTTCCCTTTGTCATCTTGAAGAGAACAAGCGAAAAATGTTTCAATGGTTAAGATCATGAGTTAGTTGAAGCTAGACCACCATGGAAAACCTGGAATCGCTGGACGGCCGTTTCGTCCTATTGTGAGACTCCTCAGCAGTGCGCATCCACGACCACACCCCCTGCGAGACTCGAGCCCAGGACCTACTGGTTTCGCGCGCGAGCACTTAACCACTAGACCACTGAGCCGGCATCCAACGGTGTTAATGTCTAGCTTCAACTTTTCCAAAAAATGTTTAACAGAATAACATAAATTCATTTTATTTCGTTTGATTATCCTCAGCTGCTGACAACATGTGATATTGAAGAATCATAATTAGAAAATGAGTTTATATTACTGACATGAAAGAATTTAGTTGGAAGTTTCTATCATTACACGTCATTGTTAGATGCATAGCACTGGATAACATTCACTACGATCACCTCCTTCTTTGTTTTGATAGATGGTTTCATGATTGTGAATCCATGAGATTCCCACCCTGAGTATGCGGAGCGTCTTATTATTCGTAACCAGAGTACATCAGCATCCCTTGTGAATCTCAATTTGTTTTGCTGATTCCGAGCACCATCAAGCTGTATCTTTTCATATCTGTAGCTAATTGATAAGTCCTCCTTGTATCCCACATTGTGCGGACACTTTATGTACATGGGCCTCGTGACCACGGAAGAATCTCTTCTCTCACCATAAGGCGTTATAATTCTCCTAAACCAAGATGTTTCAAATCCCATGTCAGAGTTTAAATGACGTATTCTCGTTATTTAGATGGGGTTGCTAACTCCATGTCATAAACTAATAATAATTATGAAAATTAAGAGATAGATAGATAGATAGACAGATATAGATATAGAAACGGACATGGATGTGGATATAGATATGGATATGGATAAGAAAAATACTTTACAGTCTAAAATTGCTCACTTTTGTAACAACAATCATAATCGGAATAGGAAGTAATTTATTCATTACACCTTCAGTAATAAATTTTTTCAGCCATTTATTCGATTGTTGTTGTTTTTGCTGTTGCTGTTCAACTGAATTTTCATTTGACTGATCATCTTGATCATTCTGTTGTTGTTCATCATTTTGCACTGATTGATTCGGTTTTAGAGAGTATGATATTACAGTAGAAGTATCTATCGGTTTCGGATGTAATGGACTATATGACCATTTAGTATTTTCAAATTGATCTTTAACAATATTTTGTGATTGAAGACTTAATTGATGTCGTAAATTCATAGAAGATTTTGTTCCGTCATCTTTAACTATTGATGAATCAGTGAACATTTTAAAATTGTAGACAACTGGACAAAAATGTAAAGGAGTTAAAAATAATTCGAATGTATTTTGCAGAATAAAAATACCGAAAGATACTTTTACTGATCAATAAAGTGAATAGTGTAATAAATATCTGTTAACGGGTTATATATATTGGGTTAAAGCATGTTCCGTGAACGATTGTGTTGGGATACGCTGACTGGTTATATCGTATCCTAATCAGCGCTAATGGATACACAAAGATCAGTTCAGAATCTTCTCATGTAAAAAACTATAAATATACTAAGGTTTCTTTTATTGTGATTCCTAATTAACTTCCTGTTTAACTGTGTTCTGATTCGGTGACTTGTCGAGTGAAGTAGTGTCTAAGATTACTAAGCAATAGAAGTAGCTTGGTCATAATAAAGCAAAATTATAACAACACCATATAGTAATAATAAATATAATTATTTTATATCCCAATGAATAGAACAAATTTTACTACTGATGTTTTGTGACTTCATTTAATTTAATTCCCTTATTTATTTACTCTGAAGAAGTGGTTTACATCAAGTCACGAAACGTCAGAAATACAATTTTTGTACTCATTGGAATACAACAACTTGACTTAACTTTCTACTCAATGCCCAATTTACTTGAAACTATCAAGATCACATTACAATATGACAATGTATATCCCTGAAAACGAAATTGACCATTTTTTTCACTTCTTCTAGTATTTATGCCAATTCATCTCATTCGCTCAAGCTAACTCACTTGATCTAGTAATAACTTAATTTTTGGTAATTTTATTAAACAAAGTTAAATATATAGAGAAGAGTTTCATGGAAAAATATTGTCAGACACTACGATTTCTTTAGTTAAACATTGTAGTTGGTCAATATGCCAGTCAATGATCTAATTTTCCTTCTCCGGAAAAGCATTAGTTCTCATAGAAAACATTATAGATAGGTATTTATTGAAGGCTAAAAACAATTTTTCATTAAAACAATCATATAGAAGACTTCTTGATAAGTAAACTTAAACAGTGAAAGTTTAAATATAAACATCCCTTAATACAACTATAAGTAATAAGTTAATAATTGAATACATAATCAAAGTAATGAATGTAATTCATTTGCTATGACCACATTATTTTTATGAAAGTTCATAATGTTACGTTTTATCAAAATAGGTTTTGTGGAGATTTTAGAAATTTCACTGGTTGAGTCAATTGAAGCTAGACCATCATAGAAAATCTCGAAGCACTAGACGGCCGTTTCGTCCTAGTATGGGACTCCTCCACGATCCTGCCCCCTCGCGATCTTACTTTTTGTTCAATTTAATCGTTATTCATTTATTAGGTGTCATTTAAACACTTTCAATCACCGTTCACGTTTTTGTTTGAATATTTTCATGGGAATTAAAGTTGGCGGGGAAAAAATATGATTAAAATTTGTTATATATTAAAACAATTTCATCATGTTTCTTTTTTTCACTTACTACTTGATTTTAAATTTTCAATTTCTTCTGAATCAATTTTTAAATAATGAATATGTTGTTCAATAATTTGTAACCATAATTCTAAATCATTAATTAATGACCATGGTTCAGTGTAATCAATACAAATTATTCCCATTGTATGCCATATAGTTGATTTATTTAAAGCAAATTTTAATAAATTACTTTGTTGTGGATCACCATCTAAACTCCATATACCCATATGTAAAGAGTCTAAAATAATTGAATAATTTTATACTTTTATATTCTTCTATTATTAATATTTAAGATTATTGATAGTAATGTGAATCAGTGAAAATGGATACTCATTTAAGGCGGCCTTCTTGAGCATCTGGTCTATCTGTTCCTGCCATCTAAATATTTCAACAAGTTATCTATTTTTGTTTGTTTTTGTTGTGGATGCGGAGGAATAGACCAATAATTATCATGTTAAGTCCAATGGTGTCCTTGGACTTTAAATGGACATTTCCTATCGGTCGATATCTGTTCAATTGTTGAATATTGTACAAAATGTTGTTTTCTATTTTTATGGTATGATGTGGTATGCTTGGTTAGTATGTAAATAGAGTATGTTTGAAATATAATGATTCATATCTCCGAGGCTGTGGCTTGTGTACTGGACTCAACTGACTGGGCTAGACAGGGAAGCGAGACCAATCGAGACTCTAGGCCGTCCGTTCGTGTTTACGTGCCACTGTAGTCGATCGATAAGTACGCTGCTCTCTAATTTTCCAGTCAAGGATACAACAATTAGCACAGGGTAAAAATCGACAGCAACCTAAAGCCATAACAGTTTTAATATATCATTATGTCTATTAATCACATAACCTATTCTGTTGCGTTTCTAAAAAGTGTACAACCTTTCATTGTCAAAGTTACAAAAAGCTCAATAAGAGTGAATGTGGTTGCTGGCAATATACAACGAAAAAAATGTACATTATTCAGATGTTCATTTACTGGACTGTTAACATCTAACTGGCGATCACTCGATATTTATCGCCAGGACCGACTAAGAAGAAAGAAACGGAAACCTGTTGAAATACTTTGAGCTGGGAATTCTATATTGTACCAAAATTATAACATTGAATAAAGCTAATAATAATAATAAGTATTATTGCATTTATTAAGACGGTTATATCTTGAATAATGGATAGTAAAGAAATCTAATAAACACTTCTGATGTTTTATGAAACTTTTAAGTGAGATTAATTTAAATTCTGTTTTGTAACTTCTTCATTTAGACTTGAAATTAATGAGTAATCCATTAGATTGATGTGCATTTGATGGGTGTGTATGCCTACGTTGTCGATATTCAGGATTGTAATTGGTTAGTGTTTGTTTGTAATATGAATTCCTCAGAGTGAACTGCTTTGTATTACTTAAATTTACTATTTCTTCATATCCTAAACATATTCTAGTAACGATATTTAGGAGATTGTTAGTTATTCTTGCTCAATAACAGTGAGAACGTGATCTAGGAGCAAAGCGGATATCAGGAACTTTACAGTGCAGATTCATCCAATCGACAAGTCTCAAATAAAAGAATGAGTTCTAGTTCTCATTCATAGTGATTTTTCAAAACATAGTTTGAAATCAGGTTTGATTTGATTAAAAACGACTAATGTACGTATTATTTTTAAATAATTTTATATCACTAAACTGACATACAAATATATCAGTTGTTTTTACAGAGATAAATATCGAGTCACTGGTAGGCATCCTGATTAACTTGGAAATCAATGGTAACGAATATCTTACAGCTTTCACCAAAGAGAATGAAATAATCTAACAGATGGGTTCCGCTAGTGAAAATCTCTAAAGAATACAACTCAGTAAGACAATATACTAATTGTCTTTTGATGCCTTAACTTCTCCAGACATTAATCATCTATTTTAGAGAATTGAATTTTGTAGAAGGAATAGATAACGCCATCATTGATGAAGAAAGACTCCTTACCCTTAAAAACTACTAACCTTCACTTCCATCTTCATGAAGATTTAGAAATTGATAATCTAAGCCAATCCCACATTGAATATCTGTATTCGAATTTATACATTCGATGATTCGTGTTTTGTCGGTGGATTCATTGCCGAAAATGATTAATTGGGGTTTATCAGGTGATTCAAGTGTTCCATAAGCGTTTCTTCTATTCGACTGAACTTCATCAAGTAAAGATACCCTAAAGGGTATGGAAAAAAGATAAATATTCATACATATTTATACGTATTAAATTGTTTGAATTCAGACTATGAAATGAAAATTTAGTACCACTGTTAGTGCTTTTCGTTCAAAATTCTTTTTTGAACTTTTTAAGTTTTTAGAAAGCAGAAAGTTGTAAAGGTCATTGGATTTCAAGATTAACGTAACAGGATTAGTCTCTTAAGGGAACTTTATAAAGTCAGAGAGGAGTGGACGACTGTTTGATTCTTGTATCGCGGTCGTCAGCAGTGTGCAGGATCTTTAAGTCTTGGAGTGTTCGTTTAACTTTTAAACTGTTTATCTGGTATTCGCTGGCTTATATCATTAACTCCAGTTAATTTGTGTGATGAAACCAACCTCACCCCTTGCTAATACTGACCGTTCGCTCACATCTGAAATTGTCAAACTGCAATGGTCACCGTTGTTTACTTTGACTGCAAATAGTACCAATAGGAGTCAATTATCGGTATATACCGAGAAATCATATACTAAGAGAAAAGTGCTACGTAAGTATTCCTGAATTTCTTATGGCTACTAAGTAAGTTGGTTCTCAAAGTAAAACTACAAATTATCAGTCATCAAGATGTTCCATTTCGTCAACTTCATACTTCTCTTCATCGCTTAAGATGATAATCTTGATAAGCAGTACGTTTCTTAATAAAAATAATAGTTACCGCTGAAAATAACTCGGTTTAAACAAAAAATGATTAGTAAGTGAATTTCTTTCCGGACTCCGTTTCGAGCCCACCCTCGGATTCAAATAAGATCAAGTTCGTAACTGTCGACTATTGCCATGAGAAGAATACTGTTCAGTTATTAGTTTAGAACTCAGTGGACCAAATTTAAGGGAAGCACCGACCTCATCAAATATTATCGATGAAGAATTGTATCAGTTTCTTCTTGGTTGGATTTATTCGGTCAACACGTCTAATGTCTCTGTAAATTACCGTTTTAACTATTCAATTTATGCTTATAATGTTGTTATGTTTATCGATCGGTCGGCTTATAGTTTGTGAATGAAAATCAGGTCATACTCTACCTATATAAAAGGAGGAAACATGTATAGTTATGAATTAATCGATAGCCAGAAATTTTTCATTTCTGTACTTTTAAACTTCTCACTATTAATCTGCTGAAATCTTTGCAAAATAGAGTTATCTAGAAGACTGATGGCGTCATATTTTGTTGAATGCATAGGTTAAAACTATGAGGAGGAGTACAATATTCGATCTTAAACGGAAGGGTTTAATTTTTAAGGTTTTTAACGGATCTCGTTCGACTTGAACAGAAGTGAAAAATCTCAGCACAAGAAAAAAATCAAAGACAAGAGGTTTATTATACACCAGGGGTAAATCAGAAATCTGTCTGAATTCAATTATTTTTTTGGGTTTGTCTACACTGAATGTCATCCAATTTCAAAATAAATCACACCATATATCACTTGACACCAATTTTTCAATAAATCACCATATGACCATAATTTGTGTGTAAAATCACAGCAGACTCCCACAGCTAACACATAGAATTGATTAATTAAGTTCCACTTTTCCTTTGTGCTAGCAGAAACCCTTTTTGTTTCCAATCGGCTATCCTAACATCGAAATATCTCTTCTGGGACTGAACTGATAATTTTAATAAACTTGTATACGATGATCAAATACATGGTGGGGTACATAACTCAAAATCATCGTCATTTATTGTGGTCATAGATAGCTGAAGACGATCGACAATAAGCCGTAAACTAGAGACCTGAGAATTATCCACAAATGTTAACCAGAGCAGAAGCTTTAATACAATGTTTGGACTAAAATAGATTGTGACCGACTTGTTAGTTATATATTGGCATTATAAATATAAGCGACTATTTCTCAAGATTATAATTTGTGATAACTTAGAACTGGATAAATAAACAATACCAGGAGTTTCCTAATGGACTGTTAACGAAAATCAAACATCAAGTTGCAATTTTTCACAACTAACTCAATTTCGCTGATAAATTCGCTGTATATTTATTTGTATACACCAAATATCCTGCTTTTTAGAGAACATGTGAAAGCTATAAAGAATAGTCATGCACTCAATACTTTAGTGTTAGCAAGTATTTTTAACTTCTGTAGAAATAGCATGGTAAGCCACAATATCACAAACTTTAGACAAGCAAAATGTGTGGTGAATCTTTCGAAATTATAATTAATATTGTTGTGGATAGACATTTAAAATCATGCAAACTCCTGGCAGGTGTTATTTTATCAGATACTAGCCATCCCCTTCACTCTTATTTTTCTTCTTTTATATCTTCTGGTAGAACGAGACGTAATTACATTAAAATCCATGCACGCAAGGAAAAGTATAAAAGTTCTATAATACCTTACCTAGCAAATATACTCTTTGACAAACAGGTTGTCAGAGTTAACTTAGTCAATAACCTGCCTTCCTAACATGTCTTTAATTTTAAAAGTTTGTACAGTTTTTCGGTTTTTATTTTTTTTCTAAACCTTTTTTTACTTGTTTCCGTATTTGTTACTGTCTCTTTTTGTTGTTCAGTAAGTAACTTGTTGAAATACCATGTGCTGAGAATTTTATATTGTACCAAAATATAATATTAACTAAAGCCATTAATAATAATAATAATAGTAATAATAATAATAATAATAATAATCTGTCAAAATTTACCCACGGTATTTCTCAATAAACATGCAGAAACCGGAGGAAGGCGATATATTATTCTTATCTTAATACCTTTTACTTTAATAATATGGTTGCTTAAGTGAAAAGAATATTATCAGTTTATGTATGGGAAGTATATACCTTTTCGGTTTTACTAACAAACCGTAGCTTAACATGTGTAGCACAAACATCATTGGATACTAATCTGATGAATTAGTAATAATGGCTACTAGATGATAGTCATCAATCTTTCGTCATGAACGTCTATACTTTACACCTATTGAAACTGTGTTGTTCGGTTATTCACGTTATGTTATGGGTGCAAATATTAAAGGTAAATAGCCACAATATAGTTGCAAACAAGATCACTTTCTATTCATACAACTTGGCTCCAACACCAAACAAAACGTGTTTTGTTTGTTTATGAGAACTAAATAATGTATTGATGGAATCATTTACTGTATGAGCTTTCGTGTTATCTGACTCTATTGTAGCCGTTTGAATTTATTCATCTTCTGCAGCTGCTTTTGGGATACATATGGCTTACGTTTTGGTCCAAAAGCCATTAGCTTGTCAAAGTGTTTGGTACGTGTCTAAGTAGTCTCTCATATTATTGGTTGATAAAACAACAACACTTTTTGTAAGTCGAATATAAAGTAGAGATATATCTATTTTGTTGACAACTTATTCACTACCCAGTTTAAAGTAAATAAGAAATATGACTTGACTAGCTTCGGGTGTTCTCTTAGCTCTAACATTTCAATGTACTTTTCCACAACAATTTCAAAGTGTCTAAAACGTTCGACAAGTAAACATGAATTCCATCGATAAAAACAGGTAAAATCATGATGAAAGTTCACAAATATTCGTAAACAATTTGATTTCAAGTTAAACTGCGTCTTATTTACCGGGAAACGTTCTTTCCAAATAGCTATTAATTAAAACTTATTGTTCACTTCACAGTCCAGTAGTTCATTAAAAATAACCCTCAGGACAATCTACTGAAATGTCTTTGTCAATATCTATTTCACTGCATTTGAATAGAAAAACAGTTTTAGAGCCCTTCTTGCATTTTTGCTTAATGTCCAGCACTACGGATGCGTCAATCAGAGAAACGTTTCCCATTGTAATAACAATATTGACGGAGGTAATCTAAAGCAAAACTAATTTAAGCCACGGTAACTCGAGTAAAATGTGAAAACATATGGCTGCTGTTGACTATTCAAAAGTACAACAATCTCACTGAATATAATTTCACGTTCACCTTCCAAGCGAGCCATTCCCAGCTTATTTTCAAACATTTTTGCAGTAGCCATCCACAAATGTTCGAATTCGTAATACAATTTATCACAGCGTATGTCTCTAATATAATGAGAGACGCGGCGAGACAATAATTTAAGGAACGAACCTATCAGATTCACGATAACAGCTAGATCTTAAAGTTTGGCGTGAAATTGATTCGCCCATTTAGCTGAATAGAGTTTTGGCATCATAGCTGATGAAATTTCGTGATGAAAACCCTAAACCTTGCTCCTAACCTTGGCCATCAACTGCAAATCATAATGCTTATTCTTCAAACTGCTTCATAACCCTGAATTAGCCTTAGTAAGTAGGTTGGTCTAGCGTCGCTCAAAGCTCGTCCATAAATTATAGTCTCACTGGTTTTGTGAATCAGTAAACTAATAAAATATGTTAGGCTTACCATAAATTTTGTTTGCTGTCTTCTACTGTATCACGCATTCTACAAACCGATTTGAAATACTACTTAATAAGAACAAGGATTATGGCGCATTAAAACAAACTGAATAATTTTCGAGAATATGATATAGTGAGCCTACAACATGGTGAAAATGTATATTATTAGCCTTCTAACGTATAGTTAAGATGAAGTGAAAAATATTCACTGAATAACGTATAAATATCATATAATCTTTTGAACCGGACTACGATAGTATACTTAGTGGTTCTTAAACTGGATATCATGTTACCTGTAGTGTTTATTCGTCGTGAAAGTGAAGACGCTTTCTTCTGAATGTACTTTCATTTTTAATGCCACTGTCTAATTGGTTTCCAGGTAAATTCCTAGTTTCCTTTCGGTGAAGTAAACCGATTGTGAAAATTGTTGTGCACCGAAAATCACACGAACCACTTCTTACTGAACGAAGAAGTACCTATTTGACAGTTTTTGTGCCTACCTAATACGCCTCAGTAATACCTAAATGCAGCGCATTTGAACGGAGCTATTGGAATTCGTGAGATCACGGACCAGTACCCGATATGGATTTCTTTCGTAGGGTTCACTGAAAATTTCTTTAGACAGTCAAAACTATCCGAAAAGATATTTCAAAAGCACTCTTTGCTGGAGGCAGAATTATGGCCGTTAATCAGAAGTCTTCCAAAGATATGTTTATTATAGCAGACTTACTCGTAATAATATAACACAGGTATGTTGCTAACCTACAACGAAACCTATATGATCAGAAGGTCATTAACTTCTTATAACTATGCAAAACTGCATCAGATTTACTTAATTTGGCTGAAGATTTACGAATAGTGAGTACTATGAAATAGCTTATTTTATAGAAACGATTTAGGCAAAGATATTTATTCAACTTATTTCTATAGAGCTAGGATTCTCAGGTGAACTTTTAATTTCCTGAGCACAAAAGCTCTCTTGAAAGATACAGATGCTTTCTCTAATTAAACCGTTTGAAATTCAACATCAAATTGAAATCGCTAACAGTTGTTTAAGAATAGCTGCATTATGACATCTGGTATAACAACTAGGTTTTAGTGGCGGTGGTTTGTTCGCTCAGGTCAAGCCATAGCTAAAGCTTAATTCCCTCAGATTCCAATTCACAATAGACTAACTGGACACATAACTGACCACTTCAGCTTGTTGGTGCGGAAGAAGATGTACGGTTATTTTATAAACGTGAGTTTGTAAGACAGTACATGAATTCTCAGGTAACATAACACGTTGGAGACATTTACAAACCACGAGCTTCTAGTCAATAGTTCATGGGTTCCACCAATTCCAAGCAAATTTAACTGTGCCGTTACACAATTGTATTATGTTCTAAAGAGTTCAAAATTGTCGATTCAATCATACGAACCCTATGCGTCATCATTAACCCCGGTATGATGCTTGAGAGTGAAGTAAAGTTAAGTGAAAAAACATTTTCAGACCGAATAGTCGCAATATATGCTGTAAGCATAGTTTCACTCACCTAGCTCATAACATCATTATTTTTATTTGTACGAGATGCTGAAGAAACTTTCAATCAAATTTGTGAGGGACTTCAGTTGTTAAAAATGGTTACGACCAAGTGAAAAATCATATAAGACGTGAATGTTCGTTTAGCATCCCTCGAGCACAATGAGTGGTATAGAAAACCTGCATAGATGACCACGTGCAAGATTACTTTTGGCCTGAAGATACCTTTTTTTATCACAAATCTGCTAACGTGTGTCAATTTTTTTTGAAAAAATCTTGTGATTTATAGTTTTTGTGTGTACTGAACTAATCTCACGTTTGCGGCTTCGAAGGGGCTAGGATTAAAACTGCTAACGCCACATCTATACACTCCGACCTAATGGGGAGTGGCACATCCTTCTCAACGTCCATAACTGTCTCTTGTCCTGAAAGCTCTTTGACTGAACCTCCTGATCACTCTCAGAACACACTGCACAACTCTACCTTTCACTCTTAGACATATCTTTATCACCAAAACAACACCCAACTATCTTTCTCGCATTAACCCTATTGGCAATAAACTAAACGCTCATCAATATGGAGTCAACACTCCCAATTCTTCCTTTTCACATGGCAAAACTGACAATCCACTGAGTTTACATCATATCCTTCTACTAGACAAACAGTCACCATACCTGACACTTATTTTAATCAACGCTCGATCTGTACAAAGTACGATGATTCACCTACTCAGTCTATTACTTTTAAACAACCCTTAACTTGTTTTGATAATGGAATGTTTGCAATCCTCCGATACCACAGACACATATCTACAAATAGACACCTATGAGCTCTTCCTCTGTGATCGAGTCATCAAGAAGGGTGCTGGTTGTCTTGTTTATGTATCAAAAATGTAAGAGCGGAAATCTATAGCGACCACGTCCTCAGCAAACGTCCTGATTCAATGTGGCTTACTGGGCGCACTCATGAACGTAAAATACTAATCGGATGCAAATATCGAGCTCCTAACACTCCTAGTTCAACTGACACTTATAAGTGAGTCATTTGCTTAGGCTGTCTCGCTTGACTTCATTTACACAATTGTATGTAGTGACTTCAACCTTCCCACAATCAACCGCACGACGCATTCTGGCCCATTGTGCTTTGAAAGCATACTTAGGTCCTTGAACATACACGGTTGGCAACAACATGTACACCTGTCTACACGAAATCACAACATTCTTGACTTGATATTCTGTCATAATGTCACACAAACATTAATGGTGGTTGGCGAAAAGTTTCACAACAGCGATCATAAAATAGTCCTCTGCACCCTTCCGATTGTTGCCATGTGCAACAAATTAAAGACATTAAATACGCGTTTCCAATATAGAGACTATGCAAACGCTGACTGGAAAACCTTTCGATTTCTAATAAAGCACTCTGAATGGAGCAGTTTCTTTACCAGTGATAACCTCTTAGAAACATTAAAAATATTCAATACCACCACCACATCCGCACTAGACACTACTATACCCTCTCCAATTTCTTTTAAAACAATTACTCCCTATATAAACCAAAAGACTAGGTCTAAACTGCGAAAACTGAAAAGGACGTACTATATATCAAAAGACTTCAGTGCCCTGCACCAGATAAACTCTGTACTTGACGGAGTACAAAGTCCACACATCAAGCGTAGTCAGTCAGAAGAACGTACTGCGCTCACTGTGGCATCTAAAGCTTAAGCCTTATGTCGTCTCCTCGCGAAACGCATAAGAAAGAACGCAGGTCGCAACATTCACTCCTTACTACACGATGGAGTGACCGTCATATGTAAACTCTCAAGTGAATGGTTTTCCCACAATGGGAATACATCTGATGCTCCAGATATCAACACAAAGTACATCAGCAAAAACTATCTTAGTACCATATACTTCGACATTAGGAGTTCACATACCGCTACTAAAACCCTTAAGCCAAATGCGAGTTCTGGTGCCGATGAAATCCTTCAATCCCGTCAGGACCAGACATACAGACGCTATTACTCAAAATATACACATTATCTTTAGAGACGGGTACATATCTGGAATCCTTGAAGGTAAAGTATGTTCTTCCCAAACACAAATCCGGACCGAAAAACCTGGTCGAAAACTACAGACCCATAAATATCACTCCAGTCATATCACGCATAATGGAAAAATTGATACAAAATCAACTGTCTGATCACCTACTTAAGAACGATCTAATAGACCCGTCACAAAACGGCTTCATTAGAACAAGGCCGTGCAGCACATGTCCGATAGACTTCTTTAACGAGGTTACTCGTATACGTGACCAGAAGAAACTAGTGGCTATACTATATTTCGCTATTAAGAACGCCTTTGTTAAAGTACCTCATATGGAACAGTCTTCCCTCCGAAATACGCATGGCAGATGAATAACAAATGTTTGTAAAAGTGCTTGATCAAGCTCTTACTTGCACTGATCTAGCACGTACGAACACATCTGCGCCCCACTCAGACATTACAGACTCTCTCCATGCCTTGACCAAAATGAACCCCAAGTTCCGTTTGCCTTATTTTTCCTACTTTGCAGTTGTATTAGTTATTTCTTACACCCTATTTCTTCATTTGAAGTTGACAGGTAGTTCACTGGACCTATCGATACTGTTCAACTAAACTCGGTCGCTAAGGGACACTCATCTCCACCCTAAAAAGTCAAGAGAACCGCACAATCGACTGCCTACTACCAGTGGTCTTGCATCTATGGAGCCTTTTAGCCATCAATTGTTTAGGACGACACAAAATAACATCAACACCAAGTTAGTGTGAGTTTCCCTCTGTCTATTCTTTATTCTTCTGTACACTATGTTGACTGGCAATTATTACTATTTCTCCACTCGTCACCTCATCTACAACTCATAATTCAATACTTTTCCACCCGCTTTATTAAACAATTATGCTACATTATTATAGTATTCTAATTATCGTATGAATTAGGAATTCCAGGATTAACGCAATTGAATTAAGAAGACACAGGCACAAACGAATGTATTGTATTTAGAATTCGAAATCGAACATTCAACCAGTACGAAGGTATCATTAGTCCATTCAAACACCACATCCGCCACAGCTCAGATAGAAGTATAGGTGTTTGTAATCGGTTGTACGTCTTCTTGTTAGGTTCATTGTGAGTCAGTCCGACATTGTGTAAGATAAAAACTTTGTAGTATCTAGAAAGTGCTCATTAGTATTGGAATTAACAAACGAAATCGGAACAGACTCACCTGGAATTGTATACAACCAGCATGTCGGTTTTGTAATGAAATCATTAATATCTAGAATTCGAACCATAGGTTTTTCAACACTATCCTCCCCCACGAAATAATGTTCGATCTTTATATCCCCAAGTTATGAATAATGTGGCTTCATTTAAAACATATTTCTCACATTGTTTACAGTAAACATTAAAACTGTTTTTGTGATAAGGGTAAACAGCAGTTGATATGAAATCATCCGAAATGTAATCAAACTCGAGGTCACTTAGTAC